GAAATAAATGGGTTTTTAGGGCCCGACGAAAAATCCGGAGGTCTGTTATTGTACGTAGCTCTGGGGGGAGGTTGTTCCAGAGGGCGGGCGCCGCCACAGAGAAGGCTCTCCCCCTGGGGGTCGCCAGCCGACATTGTCTGGCGGACGGCACCCTGAGGAGGCCCACTCTGTGGGAGCGTACTGGCCGGTGGGAGGCTATTGGTGGCAGAAGGCGGTCTCGTAAGTACCCCGGCCCTAAGCCATGGAGCGCTTTAAAGGTGGTCCAAAGGCCCAAAGATGCTTTTTCAAGAGACAACTGGACTTTCTGGTTTTTCTTTGAAGATGTTTCACTTCTCATCCAAGAAGGTTCTTCAATCGTGACTGGATGGTGGATTAGAGTTAGGGTTAGGGCTGAAGAAGAGCTGAAGAAACTTCTTGGATGAGAACTGAAATGTCTTCAAAGAAAAATCAGAAAGTCCTCTTGAAAAAGCATCATGAATGACTGAGAATCTCCATAGACACTTACTTTACAGTGCTGTAAAAGTTATAAAATTGAGTCTAGTCATGTAATACCGTGACTTACAGCCACAAAAACTTAACGATCACAGTTCCAGGCTCCACTGTTCTTGTAAGTCAAGAACTACCTGTACAATTTTTTTTTCCAGGAAAGGACTGCATTTTTAATTTTCTTCTACTGAACATCTAAGCACTGAGCAAAGTGGCGATGTGTCTTTAGAATTGGTGGGAACAAAAACATGAGCTTTCTTGTTACAGGTTTTTTTTAAAAAAAAGATTCAGAAAATGGAGTGATTAAGAAAGACCTAATTTATTCAAAACGAAAAAGATGGAACAGATTAGAAATAATCTCTTTACGCTGCCAAATTTCAGCATAATCCTGAGAGGACTGGAGAAACGAATTTGATGTCTAGTTTGTTGCCTAACCACAATATGACAATTCAGGTTTGGGTTTAGTAGTAAATTCCATATCTCTCTTTCCTGCTTAGAAAATTTATGGATGCAGAATAAGTGACTAGGGATTGAAGTAAATATATAAATTGCCTTTTTAAACCCATGTTCAATTGAAGTGTGTAGTGCAAATAATCAATTTTGCTATAAAGTAGAACTCCCCAATATATTGAATGCAGACAAAAATGCAGAATAACAGGCAGTTTAGCAACTGCTTCATTTAGTGACCATTCAGTTACAATGCTGGTGAAAAAGTAACTTTGTGATCAATCCTTATTTTTATGATAAAATGTATAAACCAAAGGAAATCTGAAAGCCACTTGTAAGCTGAGTCACATCCACTTAAACTTTACAGCGGAGTTCCCATTTTTTTGTTGTTCCAAATCTGTGCACTGACCAATTCCTAGCAATACTGGATAGTTCAAAAGAAAACATGAGAATTATACAGGTAGTCCTCGACTTACGACCACGATTCAGCCCAAAATTTCTGTTGTTAAGTGAGACATTGGTTAAGTGAGTTTTGCTCCATTTTATGATCTTTCTTGCCACAGTTGTTTGTTTATTTAGGAAAATTTATATAGCTGCCTACTTGTGACTCTACAGTAGGTGGCTTACAGAAAATAAAAACACAATGTAAAAAATAAAAATAATAAAATAATAACCCTACCTCACCCCCTCCTCGGGCACAGCACACACTCAAATCAGCCATTTAATAGGCTCCATCCCATTCTGGGTTTCTCAGGCCTGCTGGTAAAACTACATCTTTAGGCAGGGTGTTTTGAAAGAGTGTCAGAGTTGAGGGCCACTCTATTTTCTGGAGGGATGATGTTCCAGAGGGAGGGACCCAATAATCTATATATATATAAGAGCCAAGTGCCACTCACTCATCACGAAATCTCTAGAACGGTGAAGCCTACAAACTTGAAATTTGGCACATATGTTCCTCTTGGCTTCTAGGTGCTCGCTAAGAAAGGATTTTTCAAAATCAGATCATTAGTATACAGTATTATATACACATGCTCTGATACTAAGGAGTTCGATGTTCTACTCTCCCTCCACCTGAAAGGAACTCTGTCCCAACTGCCAGTTGCCTTATATTAACACCCTACATTCTATATTAAGTTTCAAGCTTTAAGTGTCAAGTTATCACACCCAATCACAGTTTCATAGAGAAGCACGGGCGTCCAGCTAGTGCTATAATAAAAGAAGCAAAGATGCATAGCACCAAACAAACTTAGGGGGTTACACCCTTCCTATCTAAGGCAAGGAATTAGATCTTCAAGATTCTTTGAAACACTAGCAGGGTGGGGCAGGTTGGATCTAGGGAACCTCATTCCAGAGAGAAGATCATGTGACAGATGTGTTTCCAAGGTCCCGAGATTTGGCACTGTTTAATGAAAGGGATCTCAAGCACACCAATCCTGCAGATGGAAGCAGTTGGGCAGATACTACTGTGATTCCTCAAGAATACAGTGCTCTATTGTTTCCATAGATTAATATCTGATCACAAATTACTATTTTACACATTCGATCAGGAAAAAAAAATTCCACTTCAAAGAAAACGTACTTTGACTTGCTATTTAATCCCATTGTGATTAGATATAATTTTACGCTTAATATATTTATAGCCCTTTAATTGCAGTGGGAATGTCTGTGAGTGAGAATGAGGTTCATTTTGAGCAATGCCTTTTCAGCTTAATCCCGGGTATGTTCTCCTTTAGTCAGTAGGCTAACTATATTCAAGGCTTCCTTCCCTTCTCTTCCCTTATTTTCCCTTCCTCCTTCCCTTCCCTTTCCTTCTCTTCCTCCTTTCCTTTCTCCTTCCCTTCCCTCTTCCTTTCTTTTCCTTTCCTTTCCTTCTCTTCCCTTCCCTTCCTCCTTTGCTTTGCTTTCCTTTCTCCTTCCCTTCCTCTTTCCTTTCCTTCCCTTCCTCCTTCCCTTCCCTTCCCTTCCCTTCCTCTTTTCCTTCCCTTCCCTTCCCTTCCCATCCCATCCCATCCCATCCCATCTTCCAAACTAATTATTCTACAGTGTTTAATATGTAGATTGAAGCAGGGGTTGGTTCTAAATTTTTTTACTACCGGTTTTGTGGGTGTGGCTTATTTTGTGGGCGTGGCTTGATGGTCATGTGACAATTCTTTAGGTTTTAGCAGAGGTACTGGTTTACCAGGCTTTTAACTGCTTGCAGAGCTGTACCAATCTACCCATTTATTTTTTCAGGCACTGATCTACTCATGTATTTTTGCAGGCACTGGTCTACCCATTTATTTTTACAGGCACTGGTCAACTCATTTGTTTTCTTTTAACACTGATCAGCTGTAGGGAGGCCCTTTGAAGCCCTGCCGCAAGAGTTTAAACTGTTTCTTTCCCTCTAACCATCAGCTGGGACTCAGGAGGCAGCAATTGATTGGGGGTGGGGCCAAATAAAAGGTAAGAATAACACCGGGTGGGGGGGCGGAGGGGCAGAACCAGTTCGGTGACGTCATATCATCACCGCTACTGGCTCGGCAGAACCAGGAGGAACTGGGAGAAACCCACCACTGGATTGAAAGCCTAATACAAAAATGTGTTTTCTTGAAATTAACAAGAAATCCTATAAGAAAGATCAGTAAGTCCCAGACAATTCACAATTGAAGACCACTACACACACAGCACGCACACACACATACACAATAAAAAAATATATGCAGTGGCTTCCACAGTATCTTACTACTTTATCATAATGATGACAGTGGTGTCACACCATAAGCTTCACTTCTTTGGGATATGCATGTGACATGATACATGTAGAAAACCATAGTACAGCTTGTACCATCCTTCTGCTCCTTCCCACTTCCAACAGATGCTGATCTTACTATGCGTATTATATCTCATATGCCTATTTTACATAATAAAGCCTCTATACCAAAATTTGAAACTAGCAACCTACAGCTACACTAAATCTTTATTTGTCTTTGTTCTTTTTTTAAAAAACCAACTTCTCCCTAAGTGCTATTTGCCAACATCAATGAAACCAGAGTGGTATTAACAGATTTTTCTGGTCTTTCTTTCATGAGTTATAGCAATAGCACTTAAACTTATATACCTCTTCACAGTGCTTTACAGCCCTCTCTAAGCAGTTGACAGAGTCAGCATATTACTACCAACAATCTGGGTCCTCATTTTACCAACCTCGGAAGGATGGAAAGCTTAGTCAACCTTGAGCCAATCACGATCGAACTTCTGGCAGTCGGCAGACGTAGCCTGCAGTACTGCATTCTAACAACTGTGCCACCATGGCTCTTACAAGATGTCTAGCAGCCATTAAAACAAAGCAAGTGCGTAGTTAGCAAGTTTTCATTTGCTCCTCTGAATGCCAATAATGGAGATTATCCAGGTTCCAGTTATTCATTTCCTATTTCAATAAAAATTTTTGCACAATCCTTTGAATGTTCATGTAGGACCACCACAAATGTGAATATTTTCCACTTCTGATAACTTCCTCACCGATACAGATAGTCCTTGACTTAGGATCATTCATTTAGCGACTGTTCAAGGTTGCAACAGCACTGAAAAAAAAAGGACTGGTCCTTGTACTTACAGCCATCACAGAATTCCCATGGGCATATGATTGTGATTCAAGCACTTGGCAACCAAGTGAAATGAATGCATTTACAATGTTGCAGCATCTCATGGTCATGTGATCACCATTTGAGACCTTCCCAGTTGTCTTCCAACAAGCAAAGTCAGTGGAGGACGCCAGATTCGCTTAATAAGGGTGTGAATCACTTAATCACCCTGTCAAAAGGAGCTTGTAAAATTGGGGCATGGTGATGTGATGACTCACGTAATAATCCCATTGTTTAGCAATGGGTTGTAGTCCTGATTGTTTTTGTAAATCAAGGATTACCTATGCATTGGGTTGAGTACAAAGCATTGGTTCACTGCACTGTCCATGGTGCTGGAAATTGGGGGGGGGGAATATGCTTGATGCTTGCAAGTGGATGATCACCAAAACAAAGACTTGCCTGGGCAGGTGATCCTTAAAGATCTTTCTCTTTCCCATTTATTTTCAGGGAAACATCGGCGCATCCTCAGTTTTATTGGCTGCTTCGCCGCTGGGGTCTTCCTCGGTGCCTGTATAATGCACATGGTGGCCGATGCACTGGGAGACATTGAAGCAGAAATAAGAAAAAGGCAGCACATGGTAAGTGCTGTTATGAGAGCCTTGATTTCCATTTTTGCCATCCTGGAACAAGATTGTGCTTCCAAATGCCAAAGTTCTATGACTCATCATTTCCTATTAGAAAAAAATAAGTCCATGTAGGACAGGAAAAAATTCTGACGTTCTGTGAGTTTCTAATTCACCAGTTACTTCATTGATCCCCTCTGCGAGTCAATGTAATAATCTCCTTGGCTATTCTTTATTCTCATAGTAAGAATCTTATGACGTAGATTGATCTGAAAGTGACTGGCTCAAAGAATTGAGCTTGGTTTTTCTCATTTCACTGGCCTGCCCAATTTAGAGGTTCCCATATAGTTTAAAAAACAAAAAACAAAAAACGAACTACGCCTTCATACACAAGATCTCATGAAATCTTATGATCTCTTGAGATTTGGAACATGTTATTATTTTTTTTAATGACAGTGAACTAGATTGTATGTAGATGATGCTAGAAAAGTTGGTCAAATCTTCCTTTGACCAAATCAACCTGCTAACTAATTGTTGATAATTACTGCAAGAAATTCTGGACCAGAGTTACCAATAATCTCACCTGGTAAGACAGTAACTTAAGATTGTCTTTCTTAAGACAGTAAGAAAATCTGATTTTCTTCTACCTTTATGTGTATGCATATATTCTCACCTGTATCTGACAAATGTGTGTCTATCTAAAAGGAAGATGCCTTTTCCAGCTGATTCTTAAAAGTCAGTATGAACAGCAATGTTGCAAAAAGTTAAATAGTTTCGAAAGCCAAATTCAGAACATGGAGATGAGTCATTTTCAAATTGATACCTTCCTTTTATTTCTGTAGAATGGAGTGGAATGGAGAGTGGAGTGGAGTGGAGTGGAGTGGAGTGGAATGGAATGGAATGGAATGGAATGGAATGGAATAGAATAGAATAGAATAGAATAGAATAGAATAGAATAGAATAGATAGAATAGAATAGAATAGAATAGAATAGAATAGAATTCTTTATTGGCCAAGTGTGCTTGGACACACAAGGAATTTGTCTTTGGTGCATACGCTCTCAGTGTTCATAAAAGAAAAGATACATTCATCAAGAATCATAAGCTACAACACTTAAGTTTAAGTTTAGTTTAAGTTTTATTAAATTTCTATATCATCCTTCTCCCGAGGGACTCAGGGCAGTGTACAACCATATTAAAACACATGAATTTATAAAATTTAAAGCCAATTAAAATCAGATATATAAAATTTGGCCCTAAATTTAAAACACACATACACCCATGCGAAAGAGGGAATGATCAGACCATGACAAGGGCTCAATGACTAAATCCCCTCTTTCCAAATCACTCTGCCACTGACCAGAGACAAAAATCAAGTCCAGAATGTGTCCCCCCCCCAAGTGAATAGGGCCTTGAACTAATTGGGTCAGGTCCAAGGCCATCATGGAAGCCAAGAACTCCCGAGCCGCCATGGACATTTCACCGACAGATGGCAGGTTGAAGTCCCCCATAACCATAAGCCTGGGGGTACCAACTGCCATCCGGCTATCACGTCAGGTAGCTCGGGTAGGGCCGCTGCCATGCAGCAGGGAGCCAAGTACATAATCAGCAGGCCCATCTGCACCCCACGACCCCACTTCACAAGGAGGGACTCACATCCGGCTATCTGAGGTACAGTGGTCTCCCTTGGACATAGACTTTCTTTAATGATAACCGCCACCCCCCCACCCCTACCCTGGGTCCACTTAATGATAGTCATAGGGAACAAATAAGCAATCAAATCATATTAGGAAACAGTCAATATAAATTGTAAGGGTACCAGCAACAAGGTTACAGTCATATAGTCATAAGTAGGCAGAGATGGGTGATAGGAATGATGAGATGATTAATAGTAATGCAGACTTAAGAACTAGTTTGACAGTGTTGAGGGAATTATTTGTTTAGCAGAGTGATTACTTTTGGGAAAAACTGTTCTTGTGTCTAGTTCTGGTGTTCAGTGCTCTATAGTGCCGTTTTGAGGGTAGGAGTTGAAACAGTTTATGTCCAGGATGCGGAGGTCTGTAAATTAGTAGCTTTGATTGAATATAGGTCTTGTGTCCAAAATTCTGATGTTGTGTTGTTTCTAGGCCAGACATAAAGAAAATAGCACCTACACAGACACTGATAATGATTCAGAGGTAAGTATCCCATTGTTTGAGAACTTTGCTTTCCCTTCCTCTTGGCCTTTACTAATCAGATGAGTTTACTACTGATTGGGAACCTGTAATTTTCCATATGTTGGGCTCCAACTCCCATTGTCCCTGGCCATTGGGCATGCTTCCAGGGATGATTGAAGTTGGAGTTTGAAATGACATTTGACACAAAGAACCTATTACCTCCCTCTTCTGGGTCTTCAAACTTTGAACATGATGATGAATCTGTGAACTTCCAGTGTTCTTGAATTCCACAGATGCCTCATCAAAATCAAGATTTGAAGACCATAATGTCGGTAGAGGGAGGTAATACGTTCTTTCAGTCGAATGTCATTCCTGGTGACTTCAGGAGTATAGAAAGCTGTGTAACTCTCTTGGCAAAAATACAGAGTGACTTCCCATTGCTTTCTTTTGGGTTTATTAGTGGCCGTACTGGGTGTTTCATTGGATTTTTTTTTACTTCCCAGTTTAGTCTTGAATTCTTTTTTTCAACAACTAGCCAGACCTGTTCTTGCTTAGCTATTGGAGATCAGCTAAATTCTGCTAAATGCTGCTAAATGCTGCTATATAGTTGGGCAGAACAACATCTGTCAATCTTGTCCCCTTTAAGATGTATGGACTTCAACTCCTAGAATTCCCCAACCAGCAACCAGCTTGGGAATTCTGGGAGCTGAAGTCCATACATCTTAAAGTTTCCAAGTCTGAGAAATACCAGTCTAGAGAGAAATAAATTCCTTGACTGTGACCTCCGTGAATCGTATTTTATATTGTTCTACTTAAAAGTAGACACACTAACTCCAATAGCTGGCCCAAATGTTCACATTTGTAACAGAATGGGTGTGGATCACCCAAGATTAAATTTTGTATTGGTTTCTCATTTTGTAATATTTTCAATTTTCTAAATCTCACAAGCTCAAGCTTCCACTTGGTTTTAGAGTTCCAAAGATAGCAATACCTAACTTTGATTTTTTATATATTAGATTAGACAACTTTAAATGATTTGTTATGATTTGTCTTTAAACTCTTTAAGCTTTTATGCTTAAAGAGCTTATGATAACCAGCTGGTATGATAACTTATCAAATGAGTAGAAAAAGAACTGTTCCTTGATTTGCTGCCTGTTTGAGCCTTAATCTTTTTTTTTTAATTTGATTGTTGTCATTTTTCTGGAAGACTTTTTAAACCCAATTTTAAAACAAGTACCGTATTTTTCAGAATATAAGATGCTCCGGACTATAAGACGCACCTACCTATTTTGGTGAGGAAAACAAGAAAAAGAAATCTGCCTCTGCCTCCCAGCAATTTTGCCTCGTTGCTGCAAACAGCCTGCTTTACTTTCATTTTCGTTTTCAGCATAGTTTGATTATCACAAGAAAAAAAAATCTGCTCCCAGCAATTTACCTCCTTGCAGCAATAGCAGAGGCCCATGCAGCAATAGGCAATGACAATCCCTGCAGCCTGAAACAGCTGAGAGTTGGGAGGCCGATCCAAGGGACAATCAATTTATGCTAATTAGGCTGTGCTGAAGCTGAAATGGGCTGTTTCTTCTTGCTGCTTGCTGCAAGGAGGTAAATTGCTGAGAGGCAGAGGCCAAAGGGTGGGGGCCAGTGGGTGGGTGTGGCGACATTCAGTGTATAATACGCACCTAAATTTTCATTTCCTTTTAGGGGGGGAAAGGTGCGTTTTATACTCCGAAAAATACGGTAGATTGAAATACATAAATTTTGAACAATCGCTCTTAGGGCAATGTAGTACTTTGGATTTAAATTTGAAAAGTTGCTTCCACGTATGCAGGAATATATAGGCTTAATTCACCAGATCCTCATTAAATTAGTGATGCTTTATCAGCATCATGCAGTAATTATGAAAAGGACATGGCTGCCTTAAAGACATACGAAGAAGTACACTCCAAAATTCATGCTCAAGAATCATATTCAAAGCATTGCAAAGCCTTTAAAGCAGAAGTTGGCTTTAAAACAACGATCTTGGCTACAGGGATGATTTGGCAAAAGAAACTCCTCCTCCCACAAATCTAATTTACTTCCTAGTGCATTTGTCAGATGCAAGGAGCCAGGATGACACAGGTAGTTAATAGCAATAAACAATCACACTTAGACTTACATACCCCTCCATAATGCTTTACAGCACTCTCTAAGTGGTTTACAGTGTCAACCTATTGCCCCCAACAATCCGAGTCCTCATTTTACTGACCTCAGAAGGATAGAAGTGTGAGTCAACCTTGAGCTGATCAGGATTGAACTCCAGACTGTGGGCAGAGTTAATCTGCAATACTGCATTCTAACCACTGCACAGTTCATCAGATAGACATGCTCACCTATTGACAGGAATCTTGCCAGACTAATGCACTCATGATAGGATAGGATAGGATAGGATAGGATAGGATAGGATAGAATAGAATAGAATAGAATAGAATAGAATAGAATAGAATAGAATAGAATAGAATAGAATAGAATAGAATAGAATAGAATAATAGAATTCTTTATTGGCCACAATAAAGAATTGTGGTTGGACACACAAGGAATTTGTCTTGGTGCATACGCTCTCAGAGTACATAAAAGAAAAGATACATTCATCAAGAATCATAAGGTACAACACTTAATGATAGTCATAGGGAAACAGTCAATATAAATCTTAAGAATACCAGCAACAAAGTTACAGTCATACAGTCATAAGTGGGAGGAGATGGATGATAGGAACGATGAGAAGATTAATAGTAGTGCATTCTTAGTAACTAGTTTGACAGTATTGAGAAACTCCTAACAGTGTTGTAGAAACTACTAGATAAGTACTGCAAGCTTTAGGGACGATTTGCTTTCCACCACCTCCTTCCCCTTAACAATTCCAAGCTAGCCACTCTTTTCACTCCTCCCAGCTCCAGATTCCACTGCGTCATTGGACTTCAATCTCCAGAATTCACCATTTAGTAAGAACTTTGCCAGTAGGGGCTGGGTTGGGCTAGAGTAGTAAAAAAACCTGCAAGTTAATGTGTTCACGTAGTATTAGGGTGGGGATAAGTGATTTAGGAACCAACAAATATGTAATCTTTCACAAACTCTGGGATTTTTTTACTCAATAAATACCCTGTCCATAGATCATGAGGAGGTAATTTGTGGCCTTCCAGGTGCTGCTGCACTACAGTTCCCAGCATTCCTCATCATTGGATATACTTCCTACTTTGCTTGCTTGCTTGTATTCGTGTCAGAAGCACCTAAAGCACTTCCAGGTTGAAAGAATTAGATGATGACGTCACAGTTCCCCTGGGGATGCCTGAATGGGGGATGACCAACTCAAGGTTGACTTCACCTTCCATTCCTCCGAGGTCGGTAAAATGAGGTCCCAGATTGTTGGGGGCAATATGCTGACTCTGTAAACCACTTAGAGAGGGCTGTAAAAAGCACTGTGGAGCAGTATATAAATCTAAATGCTATTGCTACTTGCAATTACTCACTTTGGAACTGCTAGATGAACAGGAGCTGGAGCGAATGACGGAGGCTCACCCTGCCACACAGCAGCACTCAGGTCTTGAACGGGGGCTTGCTAATTATCAACCTAGCATTCTAGCCACCTAAGCAACCACGCTCCTTCCTCTTCTCTTGCTTATTCTGACAGATAACAGGAGGGAAAGAGGCAAACCTGGGGAAAGGAACCCATTTCAGTGGCCAGAAATCAGCCAAATTCTTTTGAGAAGGAGGCTACCATGGAAGGAAAAATGGGACAAAAATGGGCAGGAACTGAACTTTATTTATTCCCAGAGGTTGTTTTTTTTTTCTTTCCAGAGAGCAGAATGACTTCCTTTCTTTCTAATTTTTTTTACTACTGGTTTTGTGGGTGTGGCTTATTTTGTGGGCATGGCTTGATGGTCAGGTGACAATTCTTTAGGATTTAGCAGAGGTACTGGTCTACCAGGCTTTTAACTGCTTGCAGAGCAGTAGTGGTCTACCCATTTATTTTTGCAGGCACTGGTCTGCTCATGTATTTTTGCAGGTACTGGTCTACCCATTTATTTTTGCAGGCACCGGTCTACTCATTTGTTTTTGGAGGCACCGGTCTACTACCAAACTGCCTTTTATCACTGATCAGCTGTAGGGCGGCCCTTTGAAGCCCCGTGGCAAGAGTTTAAATAGTTTTTTTCCATATAGCCCATCAGCTGGGACTCAGGAGGCAGCAATAGATTGGGGGTGGGGCCAAATAAAAGGTAAGAATAACGCAGGGGGGCAGGGGGCGGGGCGGCAAAACCAGTTCAGTGACATCATATTGTCACCGCTACCGGCTCGGCGGAACTGGGAGGAACCCACCACTGATCAGAACAATAGATTTCTGACATCAGGACAATAGGTTACACCCCTGAGAAGCGTCCTATGAGTATATTGATTCATGTCAGTCCAAGACCGGTGAGATCAGATTTGAGATCTAGGAAACTGAGTGACTTCTCAATCTCACCCAGCTCATAGGTAACAAATGAGTGTTGGAAGAACTGCACACGTTATGGGTCTGTTTGTTTTTTTCATTCTTGTTGTCCCAAAAGGTGCTTTTGGGTTGTCCCAAAACAAAAGCATCTTTTGGGACAACCATGACCTGGATGACTGAGAATCTCCATAGACTTTATCATTCCACAGGGAGTAAAAAAGCAAAATTAAATTTGCTTCACACACACACACACATACTTACTTTTTAAACTATGATGTTGAGAATTCAGCCTCGCACAAGTTTGCATTCTTGGAAATGTTGATATACTTTTTTTAAAGTGCTTTTCTGTACTGAGTGAGAGATCTTTCCTTTGTTCCCAGTAGAAATGTTAATAACCTAAGAGCCTAAGAAATTACTATCTGTAAAGGAAGACTTTCTGTTGAGTAATCCTTCACTGCCTCCTGCTGGTCCAACCTTAGTATTGCCACACATCAATTCTCCAGAATCAGTAAAAGAAGGACTAGTGGGGACATGATAGCAGTTTTTCCAATATCTCAGGGGTTGCCACAAAGAAGAGGAAGTCAAGCTATTCTCCGAAGCACCTGAGGGCAGGACAAGAAGCAATGGGTGGAAAACTAATTAAGGAGAGAAGCAACCTAGAACTAAGGAGAAATTTCTGGACAGAACAATTAATCAGTGGAACCACTTGCCTCCAGAAGTTGTGAATGTTCCAACAATGGAAGTTTTTAAGATGATGTTGGATAACCATTTGTCTGAAGTGGTGCAGGGTTTCCTGCCTAGGCAGGGGGTTGGACTAGAAGACCTCCAAGGTCCCTTCCAATTCTATTATTCTATTCTACTTTAAAATATATTTATTTATTCGTCAAACAAAAATTTACAAATTTGAACAAACATAATGAAAAAACTGTAACAGGGGTGCTAGGTACATTACTGCACTTACCCACTAGGGACCTTAGGAACCTCTTAAAATATGCGATGAGGTCCACAGAAGTTAAGTTGGAATTAAAAGAGACAACTGCTACATATAAGATTTTCTTAGTTTTGCCTTCATTTCTTGGCAAAGGTGGGCGAGTAGAAAGTGTGGGGGGGGAGAAACCCTGAAAAAAATGTAACATTTGCCTGTTAATCTTGAAAGATTTGAAAACCTTTGTAAACCTTAACAACTGTTTTGTCATGCAGACTAATGGGCGGCTTTTGAAAAATAGCAATGGGGAGTAATTGTCCAGGTTTTTCAATGTAGCGATAAAGCTATAGTTGGTCATGAATAAATAAGTCTCGTAGTCTTGGATCCTTAGAACAAATGGAACATAGTTATGTTGCCAGCAAAATCCAGATTCAAGACTCCATTCAACAATGGACATTCGTGGGTTTCTCTGGATAAATCCAAATAGCCAAAAATCCAAATCACAGTAGCTTGGTTGATATTTTGTCCACTTGATCTTTTAGGCCAAGGTGCCAGTGTGCATTGGTCAGAGATAATCATGGATGCCTCTGTTCAGTGTTGAAGGAAGCTGCTGTTTCTTTCACAACTGAGTGTAACGTGTAATAAAAGGTAAAGGTTCCCCTCGCACATATGCGCTAGTTGTTCCTGACTCTAGGAGGAAGTGCTCATCTCCATTTCAAAGCCGAAGAGCCAGCGCTGTCCAAAGACACCTCCATGGCTATGTGGCCGGCATGACTCAATGCCAAAGGTGCATGGAACACTGTTACTTTCCCACCAAAGGTGGTCCCTATTTTTCTACTTGCATTTTTTTACATGCTTTCAAACTGCTAGGTTGGCAGAAGCTAGGACAAGTAACGGGAGCTCACCCTGTTACGCGGCACTAGGGAGTCAAACTGCTGAACTGCCGACCTGTTGATCAATAAGCTCAGTGTCTTAGCCTCTGAGCCACTGCGTCCCTGTAATGTGTAATACAGGTCCTCATTCAGCAGCTCTGTTGCAAGTCAGCTTGCCTTCAGTTAGCTTGCCTTTGCCTTGGAACAGAGGACTTTCAATATTCAACCAAATTGTTTCAACATCCATGTAGATTTCTTTCTTCTTTCCAACACCCCCATTTTTGGTTAGAGTTCTAAAGAACTCAGAAACATCCATGTTTTTAAGAGAAGGATGAGGGTGGGGCATGATAGCCTCCCAATACCTGAAGGACTCTCAAAAAAGAAGAGGAGATTGACTCCTAACAGAGAGAACAATTAACCAGCGGAACAACTTGCCTTCAGAAGTTATGGGTGCTCCATCACTGCAGGTATTTAACAAGAGCCTGGACAGCCGCTTGTCTGGTATAGGGTCTCCTGCTTGAGCAGAAGGTTGGACTTGAAGACATCCAAGGTTTCTTCCAATTTATTTTGTTAGATTCTGTTATGTTAGACTTATTCTCTAGGGCGGGTGTCGGGAACGTGCAACTCCCTAACTGCATGCGGCTCTTATGTCCCCCTCCTCTGGCTCCCTGCCAGCTGGCTGGCCCCGCCCTTTGCCCTCCCCTCTCCCAGTCTCTCCTCGCCAGGTCTGAGAAGGTAAGGGTGACAGCAGGGGTGGAGACTCGCTCCATATTCCAGAGCGGGAGGGATTTTACTTGCCTCTCATCTCGTGGGCGCTTCTTCCAGCACTTCTTGGTGCTGCGCGCACCTCAGTTGCTCGGGGAGACGCGCAACTTCCTCTCTGCCCCGAGACACTGGCCCAGCCCAGCTGATGCTCTGCTTTGTAATGGGCTCCAGGAGGAGGAGGGGATGCTGTCTCCCCCATTATGAAGCACGCCAATGTTAAGTGCAGGCCATGGAGCCGGCGAGAGCAAGTTGCACACCCGGAGCCACAAAACCCAGGTAGGCATGACTGGGGGGGAGTGATGTGACTGGGTTGGAGTGCTATTGAGTTGGCCACACCCACCCAGGTTTTGTGGCTCAGTGTTTTCTGTGAGAAACGGGTCCAAATGGCTCTTTGAGTGTTTAAGGTTGCAGACCCCTGCTCTAGGGCAGCAGAGGCCAGCACAATGGGGGGAAGCTCGTCAAAGAGAAGGACAACCTAAAAGTAAGGAACCATTTTCTGACAGTGAGAGCAATTAATCAATAGAATAGCTTGTGTCCTGCAATTGTAGACGCTCCATCACTGGAGCGGTGGTGAAATCTAAAATTTGTTACTACTGGTTCTGTGGGTGTGGCTTAGTGGGGGGGGGGTAATGTGACGGTGGGTGTGGCCAATTTTTTTTTTTTAACTTTTAAAACCATTTTTCTACAACCTCTTTGGTGAAAAGATCTGACGATCCCAGCTGAGTTGCCTGATTGTCAGAGGCTTTTTTTCTTTTAAATGCCTCTGACGATCAGGCAACTCAGCTTGGATCATCAGAGGCATTTAAAAGAAAAAAACCCTTTTATTTTAGTTAGATATGAGCTTGTTCGTATGCTTAACAGTTCAGTGACCCAGGTTCAGATTCACCTTTAGCCAGGCAAACTTCTTGAATGGATTTTTCCTTCCTCAGCTTAACCAACTCCACAGAACGTTTGCAAGAAAATTAAGAATGTGCTAATGGAGGAAAGGGGAGATTTAACCTGAACTAATACATTATACAATGATGAGTGCTTTAATTCATAATGATTCTGTTTCATTACTCATTCTCTCTCTCTCTCTTTCTCTCCCACTCTCTTCCTTTTCTCCCTTGACAGCTGTACCCATATGGAGAGCTCATAATTTCATTGGGCTTCTTCCTGGTGTTTTTTATCGAAAGCATGGTGCTCCACTGTTGCCCTCAAGCTGTTCACTCGCATGGCAGCCACGAAAATCATGAGGATCACAAAGAGCTCCCACCTTCTCACAGTTCCTTCCGGGCATTTATACTTTTCCTGTCACTGTCCTTTCATTCGGTCTTTGAAGGAGTCGCTATTGGCGTGCAAAAGGAGACCACGGACACCATCCAACTTTGCCTGGCCGTGCTCATCCACAAAGCCATCATGAGCTTCAGCTTGTCTTTGAAGTTAGTGCAGAGTAGCACCAAGCTCCAGTGGAGGATACTCTACCTGGTGGTCTTTGCTCTGATGTCTCCTATTGGTATCAGCATAGGCATCGGTGTGTCTCTTTCCAATGGGGATGGGAGCGGTCTGGCTCAAGCTGTCCTCGAAGGGGTTTCAGCAGGAACTTTCCTCTATGTCACATTCCTGGAAATTCTTCCTTACGAGCTGGGTTCTCATGAAAGCCCTCTCACCAAGTTCCTTTTCATCAGCCTAGGCTTCTCTATCATGGCTGTCATTGCCATTTGGGCATGAAACTCATGCTCATGCTAAGGAACCTGGAAAACTTGCCTTCCATCAACCGTCGTCGATGCACGGACCTGTTCCTGTTTGTCTTCTCTGGCACTTTGTATTGTGCCTATTCATGTTGCGTATGCCATTATGCTTGCCTTGAGTGCCACGACAAAAATGTAGCAAGGAGAGACACCTATAACAATCCTCCAAGGAAGTTCAAGAGAAAACTAGGCGATCTAGATAAAAATAGTTGACTGTGACATATGTAAGACATCAAATGGATTCATTTTCACTTCTTGAGCTACCGAAAAGGCTGTAATTCAGTCTTCTCAATCATTTGTCTTCCATAAAACTGAAGACCATAGATTAAAACAAAACGTTAACAACAAAAACATAATGGAAGAAGCAGAGACTTCAGCAGTGGAGGTCAGTGATGAAAATGGTGTTGTGTTGTCTCAACACAAGTCCACCTTTATCTACACATGTCATGCTGCTAGATGGATGCACGAAAGGGGCATAGCTACTACTATCATAATTCTGTGAAACATTGATTCCTGAGGACATCTCTGGGAAGAAGTCAATAAGTACCATCTTATTATTGCTAAGTCCATGATTTGGCTGGGAAGAATCTTTAAGGGTTGGGGATGGGATGTAAGTAAAAAAATTGAATGGCCCCTTCCTTTTTTAGGAAGTCAAAGAGAAGATAGGCCATTATAGCTGGACTGAGAAAAGGAGAGATAATGGAAATGTTAATTCAATATACTTTGAAAAATAACACAAAAAGAATATTCTGGTAACAAAACAAACATTCTGTAATTAAACATAAGGACATAAGCGTGTCGATGTCCCTTTTTCAAGCAAACAGCTTACTATATACCTTACTCACACACCCATCTATGATACTATCCTACTAAGAAAAGAACTGATATAATTGACAACGTCAAACACCAGAGTATAAATTCTATTATGCTAATAATAACAATAATAATAATTTTATTGTCATTGTATGTGTATATACAGTATATACAACGAAATTCACTTAACATCCAAAGACCAGGTCCAACACACATAACAATCCCCAAACACACTCCCACCCACCACAAATTCCCCACCCCTAAACCACCCAAACATCCACCCAACAGACCAAGTAATGCTGTCCAACAGCTCACTGATGGTGGCCCTTTAGTTCATTGTTGAGTGCAATTATAGCTCTGGGATAAAAGCTACTCAGAAACCATGTGGTCCGAGTTTTAATAGTTCTGTATCTTCTGTCAGAAGGCAACAGTCCAAAAAGATTGTAAGCAGGATGGGAAAAGTCTCTGAGAATGATATGCAACTTCCTCAAACAGCGAGATTCGAAGATGTCATTCAGAGCTGGTAGCTGGAGTCCGATGATATTCTGGGCAGTTTTAATGATTCTCTGTAGAGCTTTTTTGTCTGCTACAGAGCTGCTCCCATACCATGCAAGAATGCCGTATGTCAGGACCCTCTCAATGGTGCTGTGATAGTAGGACAGAAGTAGATGCTGAGATAGATTTATCTTCCTGAACATTCTCAGGAAGTACAGCCTCTTCTGTGCCTTCTTCACAAGCATGTTAGTTGGCATTGTTGTCATTATCATTAAAGAACATTCAGCCTTCCCAAACCTTGGAAGAAATAATGGCTCTTCTGTCCAATAAACCCTAGTTTTCCCATGTGGATCTCCACTCTTCCACACACACACACACTTTTTTTAAAAAGCTGGCCATGTGCTATCAGCCAGCACCAAGTAAGCACCTTGTCACTCATCATGTCTACATCTACAACACTATGGCTTTAGTGAGTGACAACTGTTTGATATAAAATCACTCAGCAGTTATAATCTAAATAGTTAAATATGGCTTGGTTGATACAGAACAGAGTGGAATTGTGGATTTCTTATGATCTGGAAAGAGGTGTACAGCTGAGTATCATCATCAGGTTGATATTTTGTCCCATGGTAACGGATGATCTCATCCAGCAGTTTCATCTCACCATCATAGCATTTGTACATCAAAACTGTCTCAATCCATTTTTTTTAAAAAAAAAAATACCTGTCTTCTACATTGCTCACAGTTGCAGCTGTCTGGAACTCTGAGCAATAGGCCAGGATGGGAACTTTGTAATTTAAATTGGAATATTAAATTATTCACAACTGTCTTAGAATCTCAGTTTTGTACCTATTTGAAGTGCAGGTTACTTGTAGGTGCCCACTTTTTATTATCTTTTTTTAAAAAAAAATTAAAATCCTGTAAATTCTAAACGATGTAAAAGGGAAATTTCTTAAAAAATATAAAGATAAGAAAACAAGGGATGAAAGGAAATGAATAGAAGAGAGGAATAATATTTAAAATGTTCCAGATAGAAAGGAAAACTGCTGACACACAAAAAATGGGTAATTAATTGGCATTAAAATGTGGGTTAGACTAAATGTTGGTAATCTACTTTCCAGATGCTAAATTTCCTGAATCTTTTCTGGAAGGAGGAGGAGGGGGAGGGGGGAGGAGGAGGGGGGGAGGAGAAGAAGAAGAAGAAGAAGAAGAAGAGAAGAAAGAAGAAGAAGAAGAAGAAGAAGAAGAAGAAAAGAAGAAGAAGAAGAAGAAGAAGAAGAAGAAGAAGAAGAAGAAGAAATCTTGTTAGACTCACTTTAATCCTTACTTTGGCCATGTTCAGATTTTGCAAAACCATAATTTCTGTAGAACTTCAGGGACTAGTGGACTTGAGGGAAAGTTATTATTTTGCCCTATAATTAAGAAAATCACTATGCTGCATTTCTTAATCTCCGGAGGTATGAAAGTTATAGAAAGATTACTAAACAGAACATAGCCAGCTACACTTTGTAAAGGCACCTCATATTTCCCATTTAGCACAAAGGTTAGTTGTAACAAGCCAGGAGCAGTCCGTGGAAGTTTTAATAAGTCCTCCTTTTTCTTTTAACCATCTTCACACTTCTGCACAGAAATTTTCTCTTAGGTCTCGGTGATATGTGTTTGAACTTTGTGCTTTGATATGGCCTATAGGCTAATCAATAAAGCTGTCTATCTATCTTAGGTCTCGTTAATAAATGTTATTTGCAGTGATCTCAGCTATTTTTATGTTAGTTATGTATTTTCCAAGATGGGGTAATAGGTTGAAAGTGTTGGCAGTTCAACCCTTCTTGCTTTTTTTCCTTCCTGAGAATGTCAGTGAGAGTTTCAAATCGATGTGCCGCCAGCCCGCTAAAGATCCAGAGAAACTGCGAGGCAATAATGTTGCTGTGATACTTGGGGCATTTATTTCAATTGTATTTTGCAATTTAAGTTTAGTAAACTTCATACAAGAGCCAATCACATCCAAAGTGGGATTGTAAGTACATCTTTCTTCTTTGTGTTAACACGTGATATGATTAAAGAAAATGGATTGAATCAAGAAAAGAAGATAATTCTGGTTCAGAGCTCACTGTTACAGCATTGCCAAAAAGGCATTAAGACTTGTTAACCTAATTTTGTGAAGCTTCTTCTCTGGTAACATCAAATTGTTAACTAGGGCATACAAAACCTTTACCAGACCAGTTCTTGAATACAGCTCATCTGCCTGGAATCCACACTGTATATCGGACATTAATACAATTGAGCAAGAAGTATTTCACGAGAAGAGTCCTCCCCTCCTCTGCTCACAATAGAATACCTTATGCCACCAGGTTTCAAATTTTGGGCTTGAACAACCTAGAAACTATGCCGACTACGGTCTGACCTAAGCGTAGTACACAAAATTGTCTACTACAATATCCTACCTTTCAATGACTACTTCAACTTCAACCGCAATAATACACAGGCAAACAATAGATACAAACTTAAGGTAAACCGTTCCAAACTCAATTGCAGAAAATACGATGTCAGCAACAGAGTCGTCAATGCCTGGAATGCACTACCTGACTCTGTTGTCACATCCTCAAACTTTAACCTTAAACTGTCCACCATGGACCTCACCCAATTCCTAAGAGGTCTGTAAGGGGGTGTACATCAGCGCACCAGCATACCTACCTTCCGTGTCCTACTGTCCCCATTTATTCATACTCATTTCCTGTATTCATGTCCATGTTTATATGTATAACTCTTTTCTCATATATGTTTGACAAACTAAATAAAATAAAAATAAAAAATAAATAGAGGATATAGCATTGAGTGATTTTATCCAAGACTTTCAGAGAGATGGTGCTTATAATACTCATAATACACAAGTGAGATTTGCTCTTAATTAGCAGCAATCTGAAAATGAGCTGCAACCCCACTCACCCCATGAATGACAGTATAGAGGTCAGTTAAAACAGGACCATTGATCTACCTGTCTTTTTCCACATAGCAAATACTGGGGACTTTCGTAACATTTATCGGGGGTGGGAAGCAGAATTCAGGCATTTAAATAAAGGCAAGTAAAATTGTTTCCAATAACCCATTAGAAGCAGAATGCTAAATTAAGAAATTCCTTTCTGAGAATGTTCAGCTTAGATCTTCCTAATCAAATTGTTCATCTGCTGATGCCAATGAATGAAGGAACTAAATGGAAAAGATTTGAAAATGCACTGTGAACATTGAGTTCCATGTTGAGAATTAACATTGGTTTAGGCTTGTAGTTCTACCTGAATGTTTATGTCAGTACGTTTTGGTGAGCCAAAAGTTATTTTTACACCCTTGAGTAATTTACTGTAGTGTTTTAATATACATACCCACAGTGTTGATTGCAGAAGGTTATATATTAGTAGATAGTATCCACCATCTATCTACCATCTATTTAAAACTATTAAAGCATTAAAGGATCCAGAAAAGGACTTCCAAAAAGCCCCTTCAACACCTTTCCCTGGATATCTTGCTAAATTAATAGATTAACAAGAGTTGGAAGGGACCTTACAGGTCATCTAGTCCAACCCCCCGCTCAAGCAGGAGACCCCACACCATTTCTGACAAATGGCAGCCCAATCTTTTCTGAAAGTCTCAAGTGATGAAGCTCCCACAACTTCCGAAGGCAACTTTTGTTCCTTTTTGTTGATTGTTCTCACTGTCACAAAGTCCCTCCTCATTTCTAGGTTGAATCTCTCCTTGGTCAGTTTCCATCCATTATTTCTTGTCTGGCATTCAGGTGCTTTGGAAAATAGCTTGACCCCCTCCTCTCTGTGGCAGCCCCTCAAATATTGGAAGATGGCTATCATGTCTCCTCTGGTCCTTCTCTTCACTAGACTTGCCATGCCCAGTTCACGTAACCCGTTCTTCATGTTTTAATCTCCAGTCCCCTAATCATCCTGGTTGCTCTACTCTGCATTTTTTCTAGAGTCTCATCCCAAATGAATTGAAGACTTGTTACCTTATTATGAAGTTGGTATTGACTACATGATTAACAGCAAATGTATTATTTTCCTATATGTGTTGTAACAAAGAATAAAACTGATTTATCTTGGTTTTTCATTGATAAATTAACTACTTTTCATATGTATTAAGAATCCAAAGGATAGAAGTTAGAAAGTGGCAGAGTGGATTACATTCTTAAAACAAGATTAAATGACTGTCTTTTCAGGCAGAAGAATTCTTGCTCATTTACAAGGAGTTGATATGCACAATTCAACTCTGTTGTTAAAATAGCAGCAGATTTGATATAGTGAGCATCATGTGAAAAGGACAAGTTTCTTTAAGTAACAATCTAAAATTAAATACGGTCGCAAATTGCTGAAATTATGTGAATTATTTGTAATTGGTTTGCTTCTTTTTCTGGCATAATGATGTGCATTTATGCATTCCAATTTCAGAATGATCACCAAAGATTACCAACATGTTCTTTCTATGTATTTTGCCATTCATGAGATCAACAAGAACATTAAACTGTTACCCAATACTACCCTACAGCTGGAGATTTTTGAGCATAGTTTTATAGCACATTTTGCCATTCAGAACATTCTAAAATTTCTTTTTTTAAAGCAAGGGAATGCCTTAAACTACAACTGTATCAGAAGGATGAAAAGCAAGCTCTGGAATGTCATTGGTGGCCTCACTTCTCACAGCTCCGTCCACATAGCTCACATTTTGAACACCTACAAGATTCCACAGGTAGGATAACTTTTCCACAGGACAGCTTGTAGTTGTGAAATGATCAGTCTCAGTAAATTAAACTGCACTTCTTGTGCTATTTTGAACAGTTATTTTAATGTTTTAATTTTTTAAAAATGAAACCAACTTCAGGTGGAAAAACACAAAATCTAAACAAAGCAGAGGATAGGTCAATAGAAGGTCTTAGGCATTTTGGATTCTAAGCTCAGGAATCGTTCCTAGAGTTGATGAAGGAATAAATTGTGCGTCAAGCCAAAATATTTTAAAGGCACAAGGTTGCATAGAAGAAATTATGACAGAATGAGAAAGTATAAAGAAGAAATAATAAATGAATTAGTAATAGAAACAAAATGCCCATGGTTTATTAAAAAGGTTTAGAAAAACATCCTATTGGATATAGATGTATGTTGGAATTAAGTTAAAATATTAAATATTAATTTTTGCATCTGTGTTTTTCTCTGGGGTAGTAATTCAGTATATATGTGTGTGTGTGTGTGTGTGTGTGTGTATAGTTAATATTTCGGGTTTCTTCCCGTGTAATTGTGGATATATCCCTAAAAGGGTAGAAGCGACGTTTCGGCAGAATCCCATCTGCCATCATCAGGCTTATGTTAGCAGTCATTTTGCACATTTTGTTAGCGCAAAATGACTGCTAACATAAGCCTGATGATGGCAGATGGGATTCTGTCGAAACGTCGCTTCTACCCTTTTAGGGATATATCCACAATTACACGGGAAGAAACCCGAAATATTAACTATACACACATACATACCCGTGAAAACTTACATAAACTTATATATATATATATATTTGTTTTCTGAGGTTTTCGCGGGTGTTTGTATGTAGGTCTTTGGTTATTCAGGTTTTCTCCCGCGTAAAATTGGAGGTGTCTTGGCAACGTTTCGATGAAGTCTCATTCGTCATCTTCAGGCTGGTGTTCTCGGCTTCGTGCTTCTAGGAGCAATGTGTGTGATCGCAGCTGTTTCTTCCTTTTAACTGCCAGTGGGGGTGTGAACTGATTGGGTGGGAGCTATGTATATATGTATATATATGATATTTTTTTTAGTTTTATTTCTCCTAAACATATTTAAGTGTACAGCGTCTTATCCTTAATCATTGATCATTCATCTTATCCTTTAACTTTCATTTTTATCTGTTCAGGGCTGCTCTTTTACGATTTTCTCTTCTTTGCTTTACCACACAGGTACCATAAGGTACCATATTTGGAGTTCTTTGATAAAACATCTGACCTTACTCTTTCACCTAAAAAAGAGCTATTTCTCCCCATTTATTACATAATGCTGATGTTCAAGCTACTCAGAGTCACTGTATATGAGATGGCAGGAAATGAATTTCAATAGATAGATAGATGATAGATAGACAGACAGGCAGACAGACAGACAGACAGACAGACAAAGTTGTGAAGGATGACAGACATCTGTTGCTAAATCTCAATTATCTTCAATCAGTTAGAGTATCAGGTGAACAGGAATGATGGAAACTGAGATCTACAACTTTTCCTTGCTCTGAACAGAAGTATAAGTTTTGAAGTGTTCTTTTCAGGAAGGTTGTAAGTAACAGTAACAGAGTTGGAAGGTATCTTGGAGGGCATCTAGTCCAACCCCTGCTCACACAGTAGACCTGTATTAGGGATTCGAACCGCCAAACTGCTGACCTTTCTGATCAACAAACTCAGTGTCTTAGCCACTGAGCCACCTAGTCAGACTCAGTGTGATCTAATTCTTCCACTTAAAGCTTGATGGCAATCATTTGGTTTTTGTAATTCAATCATAATGTTATAGTAACATCCAATATTCTATGGAGAATGGAAAAGATCTATGTTCTTCGGAATCACAAAAGGATTCTCAATTTAAATTTCCATGCATGTGTCTTCTAAACAGCTCAGTTATGGCTCCTTTGACCCAGTTCTGAGTGATAAAAGGCAGTTCCCATCCTTCTTCAGCATGGTTCCCAATGAAAATGAACAATATGAGGGGATTGTTCATTTACTGAAACATTTTGGATGGAACTGGATTGGTCTTTTAATATCAGACAATGAAAGTGGGGAAGCCTTTCTTCGAAATCTCCAGCCAAAGCTCTTGAAGAACGATATTTGCATTGCTTTGAGGAAATTGGTCCCAGTATTCAAAACTGTCAGATTAAGTGAAGATATTTATACACGACTAAAAGACATAGCGTTTGCTATTTTATTGTCTAAAACGAATGTGTTGCTTGTTTCTGGAGATATGCAATCCATGGTGAGTTTACAGTTGATTCTACGAGTCACTGACTCAATGAACTGGCCAATGGATCACAGAGTGTGGGTCATAACTTCTCAGTGGGATGTCACTGCTGTTTACTTGAGGCAGAATAGATTCCCAGCAAAAATCTTGAATGGTTCCTTATTTTTCTCACTGTACACAAACACTGTCCCAAGATTTCAGGAGTTTTTTGAAAAGATGAACCCTTATTTTGATTCCTTTCCTATTCTTGATTGGTTCTGGGCATCTGCATTTCATTGTACCATACCTCCCTATTATAAAGGACAAAAATACTGCACTGGGAAAGAAGAATTGGGGAAACTCCCTGGCTCTTTGTTTGAAATGAGCATGTCTGGAGAGAGCTACAATATTTACAATGGGGTTTATTCTGCAGCATGTGCCCTGCATGCAATGTATTCCACAAGAGGAAATTCAGTTTTTCTGAGAAATCAAAACAGAGAAAATCTATGGGATGTTCAGCCCTGGCAGGTAGGCTTATTTCTCTTCTCAGATACACCTGTTTAAGGACTGAAGAGGATGAGGTGGAAACAGCAATATAAAGACTTTGCAGTTAGTCAAATTGATCGTCTAATTACTTGGTGTCAGGTCAGTGCTGACTCTTAGGAATCACCGAGAACAATTTATCTCCATGATGACTTGTTTAAAGATGTTCAGGTCTTTGAATGGTACACTCTTTGCCAACATACCATATTTTTCAGAATATAAGACATACTTCCCCCCCACCCCAAAAGAGGATGAAAAGTTGGGTGCATTTTATATACTGAATGTAGTGCCCCTCCCCCCATAAAATGGGGCGTGTGGAGGCAGCAATAGGCTATGGCAATTCCTGCAGCCTGAAGCAGCTGATCTTCGGGAGACCAATCCAACTGACAATCAGCTGCTTGTGCTAATCAGGCTGTGCTGATGCTGAAATGAGCTGTTTGCTACAAGGAGGCAAATTGCTGGGAGGCAGAGGCAGATTTTTTTTCTTGTTCTAATCAGGCTGTGCTGAAGCTGAAACAGGCTGCTTGCTGCAAGGAGGCAAATTGCTGGGAGGCAGAGGCAGATTTTTTTTTCTTGTTTTTCTCCCCAAAAAAGGTAAGGGCGTTTTATAATCCGGAGCATTTTATACTCCGAAAAATATGGTAACTCTAAAAGTATGTGGGAATATGGGGCCATGAGATGTTGCCTAGGGAACAGGCAGATAGAGACAATTCTCTCTCTATAGGGAGGGTTAACAACTTCTTTAAATTTATTCCATAATTCTGCTGCTTCTCCGTCAATGAATTTTAGAACTTTAAGGCAATCCCTGATGTTCCACTTGAAAATGGTGGGTATATACTCTATGATTAAGATTATATGTTGTGGAAGCTGGTTGATTTTTTCTTCTTTTTTAGTTTAAAAGGGCTATGATTTGCCTTAATTTACCCAAATTCTTATTTGAATAGGGGGCCTATTTGAATTATTACAATCTGGATACATCGTATGCATTATAACTTTCCTTTCAAGAAGTTCTGCAGTGCTGTGATTACAAGAACTGTACAGAGGAGGGGAAGTGTAGCTGAATCTTCTTAATAAATCATGGCCTTTTTCTTAACTTTCTTAGGACTTTTAGCTATTATTCTGTATTGTCTAATATTCTTCTCACATTAATGATCAAGGGAAGTTTGAAAGTTTGGTTTTTCAGAATCTTTCCTTTCAAACATAAATTTGAGTTTGTTGCAAATATAGAAAATGTAGAATATAGAAAACCTATACAAATAGGCCAATTTTACTGTAATTTTGCATTTCTCTTGCATAGAAATGTAGATCACGTCAGTTATTTTAATATTTTTCCATTCCTTAAAAAGTAGGGGAAGTACAGGTAAAAATGTATGTGTTGAATCCTCTTAATAAATGCTGGACATCTTAAGTTTTTAGACATCATCCTATATCCTCCATTATTTTTCTAACAGTGATGATCAACAAAAGTTTGGGGAGATTGCCTTTTGAGAATCATTATTTTCAAACATAAATTTTTGTCCATTGCAAAAATATGCTTAGCTACTAATCTCAATTTGATCAGAGTTCAATGGTCAAGAAATGATCTCCACTTCACTGAGGGAATACAATATTAACTCATCTTTTGGAATCTGATTAATCTTATTTTTATTCTTCCCTCAATCCAGCTTCATCACTTTCTTAGACACGTCCGTTTTAATAACAGTGCAGGCGATGAAATCTTTTTTGATGACAAGGGAAACTTTGACCCTGGATATGATATCCAAAACCTGGTCACATTCCCTAATAATTCCTTCAAGAGAGTCCAGGTTGGAAGAATAGACTCCAGAGCCCCTGGTGGGAAAAAGTTCGTCATTAATGAAGATGCCATTCACTGGAATCACAAATTTGAGCAGGTGAGACATTTGTGGATATTTTAACATGGCAGAATGTGCCTTTTGGAGGAAAATATTTTTGTTTGAATGTGCCTTTTGGAGGAAAATATTTTTGTTTGATGACTAGAAAATCCACAAGTGAAGTGTATTGATGATGTCCTGGAGTCTTGTGGTTTGGGGGATAATTGTGTTTTTCTTTTAGAAGATATTCATCAGAAGATTTTTGTTTAATTTAGTTTTGGAATTTATATAACATAAGAATACATAAGAATGTTTGGACATGAATATGTAAAGGTAATTGGCTGCTAAAGAACAATGTAAAAAAAGGACATACTGTAAAGGAAATAAAATATCAGTAAAATAAGAGAGTGTATATAATTGTCATAACATTTAAATTTCATTATTTTCTGGATTATAAAATTAATGAAATGTATATAATAAGATTCATTATGCCATTCTTCCTGAAACATTTCAGTAATTCTTAACAGTAGTTCTTTTTTATTGAAAAATCAATAAAAGCACTTTTACAGTTTAAACAGTTTATTGTTGTCATAAGATTTAAACTTCATTAGTTATTTAATGAAATATATAAAATGAGACTCATATTATCCTTCTTCTTGAATCATTTCAATAATGATTAATATTAAAAGGTTTTTGAAAATTAATTAAAACATTGAATAATAATAGTAATTGCAAAACTAATTGTTATTCCTAAAACACATTCAAAGGACCTTGTAAAAACATGAACCTGGACATGGTTTGAGAAAAATGTATGATGCATCCCATAATGATTTGCATCAAACTTCAAATTTCTTGAGCTGAAAAAAAAATTGCTCACTCCCTGAACTTAGTAAACTAATACACTACAAATAAGGTTGTATTTCCAAAAACTATTGTTAAATTCCACAAAAAATCATATTTTTTTAGGTACCTCCTTATTCCAGATGTGTTGAAAGGTGCCCCCAGGGATTCATGAAAGTTGTTCAAGAAGAAGCACAAATTTGTTGCTACAATTGCACTAAGTGCCCTGAAGGAAGAATTTCAGTCCAAATTGGCAAGTAAAAAAAAAAAATATATACAGTGGGGGAATGGATTTTTCTATTCTACTCTGGAAGGGGCTTGGAGGTATGGAATGGGGTATGTGAATGTCTTCAAAATAAATGATTTCTCTAAATAAGATTTTCACAATAGATTAAATGGTTGGCAATGATAAAACCTTCTTCATGTATTTCAGATGCAGACCAATGTGAGAAATGCCCAGAAGATCAGTATTCAAATGCAGGAAGAGAGCAGTGCCTTCCCAAAAGTTTCAGTTATTTATCCTACAGTGAACCCTTGGGGGCCACACTGACTTCCTTGACTCTTTTCTTTTCAGGAATCCTCATTTTAGTGGCAGTGACTTTCATTCTGCACTGGGAGACTTCCATTGTCAAAGCCAATAACAGGAACATCACCTGCATCCTTCTATCCTCTCTCCTGCTTTGTTTTCTCTGCCCACTGCTGTTTATTGGCTGGCCTGGGGAGGTGACTTGCTTTCTCAGGCAAACAATATTTGGCACTGTTTTCTCCATTTCTATTTCCTGCATCTTGGCCAAAACCATCACGGTAGTTCTGGCCTTCATGGCCTCTAAGCCAGGAAACCAGATGAGGAAGTGGTTAGGAAGAAGACTGGCAGGATCCATCATTGTCATCTGCTCCTTCATTCAAGTTGTTATTTGTATAGTGTGGTGGGTCACATTTCCTCCCTTCCCTGAGTTTGACATGCAATCCCAGATGGATAAGATTATTGCGCAATGTAATGAAGGCTCAGATTTCATGTTTTATATTGTCCTGGCTTATTTGGGACTTTTGGCCAGTATCAGTTTTACTGTGGCTTTCTTTGCAAGGAAATTGCCTGATACCTTTAATGAAGCCAAGCTGATCACCTTTAGCATGCTTGTGTTCTGTAGCGTTTGGGTGTCCTTCATCCCAGCTTATTTTAGCACCAGAGGGAAATATATGGTGGCTGTGGAGATCTTCTCCATCTTGGCCTCTACTGCTGGTCTACTGGGTTGCATCTTTCTCCCCAAATGCTACATCATTCTCTTGAAGCCACATCTAAACACAAAAGAACATCTGTCCAAGAGAACAGTTTAATTGGTATATGCACACTCCATCAGACAACATTTTCATGAATCATCTAAAGGGAAAATCCCCAAAAATTCAATATTGGTACCACAATAAAAGACTTCCCCTTTATTGTGTGCTTTGTGATGCATGTAATAAGCAATATGATTTTGAATGCTCAGTTACAATTACTATCATCACTTTTTAAAAAAGCAAATCAATTAATCAATTAATCAATAATGTTGTTGCTGGTGATGAAACTTCATCCAAAGGACACTATTTTTTTGTTCCTTTTTTAATGTTGAAGTGGAGACGTAGTGACTCATTGGCTTAATAATGGTAGAGATGATCTTTGCTCAGCAGTGCAGGTCTTACTAGTGCATAGTGGGCTGAGCTCCCTGTCACTTGCCTCAGTTTCTCCCCACCTAGCAATTCGAAAACATTCTCTTTGTATATCCATGGAGACTCTCAGTCATCCAAGTCTTGGTTGTCCCAAAGGTGCTTTTTTTTCAAGAGTTTAAAAGTCAAGTTGCCTCTTGAAAAAAGCATCTTTGGGATGTTCTTTGTATGTAGTAGATAAATAGGTACCATTTTGGTAAGGAGATGAGCTGGTGCTTAATGCAGAATCTTAATGTTAGAATCCTACCAATGCTGAATCATTGTGTTTGCCACACCTGTTTGTGAGGCAACTTTGGTGGAGGGGGAGGGCTTTGGATGATGCAGGAGGAAAGCCCCTCATCTTTCTTTCTGGTGTGGAGTTAGCTCATCCTCATGTGGCACATCTTGGGAAGCGCAAGAACATGAATCAATCAGGGCTAGTAAGGTAAAGGTAAAGGTTCCCCTCGCACATATATGCTAGTCATCCCCGACTCTAGGGGGCGGTGCTCATCTCTGTTTCAAAGCCGAAGAGCCAGCACTGTCCGAAGACGTCTCCGTGGTCATGTGGCCGGCATGACTAAATGCCAAAGATGCATGGAATGCTGTTGCCTTCCCACCAAAGGGGGTCCCTATTTTTCTACTTGCATTTTTTATGTGCTTTCGAACTGCTAGGTTGGCAGAAGCTGGGCTAGTAAACAGGCAGTCAAATTGCTATTCTGCATCAGCATTTAAACTGGATAATATAACATCACCATATGCTAAATAAATGAATTAATAAACATTAGATATGTTCCTTTGTGTGGTGTTCTGTGTTTCTACAGTTAATATTTGATTTTATTTTAAATTGGGATGTCTTGAATTATCTAGGACCAGAATGTTTAGTATATTTTAATTGGTTTTTTATTATTAACGTTTGTATTACATGTATTTTTATCGTTCGCTGTTCACCGCCCTGAGTCCCTTAGGAATAGGGCGGTATATAAATTTAATAAATAAATAAATAATAAATAATAAATAAATAAATAACTCCGAGACACAGGTTCAGGTTCACCCTTACCCAAGGAATGGATTTTTCTTTCTTAGTCCAACCAACTCCATAGGATTTTGTAACAAAATTAAGAAGCAATGGAGGTGGGGCTAGGAAGCAAGTGAGAATATTGGATGTCCCTTGTCTTTTTTAGGAAGAGAAAAGCAGAGAGGAGAGGTCATTGATAGCTGGGTGGAGAAAATAGAAGGGAAGAGAAGGGAATTATTATCCAATATACAAACAAACCAAACATTCTGTATTCTGGGTGGAAAAAAAACTCCAAACATTCATTCTTATTTAAACATAAAAAGATGGTTGTATTGTTGTCTACCTTTCAACTCATAGTGATGTGGCCCCATCGGAGCCCGGGTCTGAGGAGGAGATGGAGCGGAGCTGAAGGAGGGGGTGGCCACAGCCCCTATGGCTTATGAGGAATGACTTGGGGATGAGGATGAGGCACTCTCAGGTCCCTTGGGCCTAGGAAGAGTAAGTAGGTAGGAAGAGAGGATGCAGGCTGACTGAGGAAGTGGGGAGGAAATGGAAAGGTCAGGCAGCAGAGCAGAGGAGTTGTGGTGCTTTGAAAACAAGCAAATATTTTCCCCACCCAATCCCCAAATGCGGAGAATGGAGAGGAGGCAGAATCAGCATAGGGCAACCCAACTACTCGGGATGAGGGCACCCCACCTCTCCTCATGAGGATCACCTGGAGAATAGCATTTAAGGAGTTGCCGTGGGGAGAGGCTTTTGTTGGGAATAAGAGTAGTGCTTCATGGCAACACTTTCCATGGCTGTGAGAAGAACTTTGCTCCAGAGTCCTTGCTGTTGTTGACTGAGGTTTGATCCTTTGCCTTGATGTTGGTGGGCTAACAGCAACATGGCTCTGTCCTGGGTTTTTGCTGCCTTCCTGGTGGCCTCTCCATCCCATGAAGTTCCAAGGCATTTTTTGTGAACTTTGCTGAGTTGGAGATCCTGTCTTGCTCCCGGAGCAATGCTGCTCCATGGACTTCCATTGCCAGGAAGTTGCATTAAGTGGATGTGTGCATGTGTATTTCAAGCCTTGCTCTTGGACTGTAGGTGTAACTGTATGCAGAACTTTGGGAATGAACTGGGAATTGCTGGATTGTGGGTATTTGGGTGGATGGTGGTTGAAAAAAGGCTGACAGGGAGGCAAGGGAGAAGACTGGCAGGATCCATCATTGTCATCTACTCTTTCATTCAAGTTATTTGTATAGTGTGATGGGTCACATTTCCTCCCTTTCCTGAGTTTGATATGCAATCCCAGATGGATAAGATTATTGTGCAATGTAATGAAGGCTCAGTTTTCATGTTTCATATTGTCCTGAGCTACTTGAGACTTCTGGTATCAGTTTCACTGTGGCTTTCTTTGCAAGGAAATTGCCAGATACCTTTAATGAAGCCAAGCTGATCACCTTCAGCATGCTTGTGTTTTGCAGCGTTTGGATGTCCTTGCTCCTAGCTTATCTTAATACCAAAGGGAAATTCATGGTGGCTGTGGAGATCTTCTCCATCTTGGCCTCTACTGCTGGTCTACTGGGTTGCATCTTTCTCCCGAAGTGCTACATTATTCTCCTGAAGCCACATCTAAACACAAAAGAACTTTTGTCCAAGAGAACAGTTTAATTGGTATATGCACATTCCATTAGACAGCATTTTCCTGAATCATCCAAAGGGGAAATCCGAAGAATTCAATCTGGCAGCTACAACTATGAAATAAGCACTTTTCCCCTTTACTGTGTTCTTCATATGTGTGGTGCATGTAATAAAGTACAGGATTTCTGTACTTCCCAACTTCTATCTTCATTTTTTAAAAAGCAAATAAATAAATGCCTTTGCTGGTGATTAAACTTCATTGAAAGCAAACTATTTAATTGTTCCTCTTTTAATGTTGAAATGGACATATCATTACATCTGTGTCTCCATCATTTGATTATTGCTTTATAGTTACTTCACCAGGCATTTTCCTTAAAGAGCTTAAACTCCAGACCTTCCCAGGAATTTATATACAATTTATTTATTTAATTCCCAGGAACATAAAATAAAATAAAATCCAAAATTATTTTGGTTTGGTCATTCCCTGTTTCCTTCCTGCTGAGCCTGCAAGTCCAATCTTCCTTCTTTGAGTCTCAGTGCTCTTCCTCACATGGTATCTGCAAAGTCTTTTACCAATCCTACAGGCTTTCTTGTGAGAAGCAGTTGCACAAAACACAAACTCTTTTTGGTTTCCTCTTTTCTCAAGAAACTCCACAGAATCAGGTACACCACCTAATCATGATTCCAGCTTTGGCAGCATCTCTGCCAACACAACTGTTCTTTGGGCAATTCCTGGAAGACATCATTTGTCCTATAGTAATCAAAACAACTATGTTTCACCTCTATGAAGAATGGTGGCAGGAATTGGGTATTTAACTAGTCTAACGAAAAGGAAGACTAGAGATGACATGATAGCAATGTTCCAATATCTAAGGGGTTGCCACAAAGAAGAGAGGTCAGCTTATTTTCCAAAGCACCTGAAGGCAAGACGAAAAGCAATTGATGGAAACTAATCCAGGAGAGATCCAATCTAGAACTAAGGAGCAATTTCCTGACAGTCAGAACAATTAATCAGTGGAACAACTTGCCTGCAGAAGTTGTGAATGCTCCAACACTGGAAGTTTTTAAGAAGAGATTGGATAACCATTTGTCTGAAATGGTATAGGGTTATTATTATTCTATCTATCTATAAAGGAAATCAGAATGATTCCCATTTTTTCATCAACATTACTAGATGAAATATTTGGGAAAGAACTGGTTCTTTACTGCATTAGAATAGTGATCTGCTAGGTATCTCTCACTGCATCTGAAAGAGATGAGGACAGCTTTGTCATTTCTTAATATATAGGATACTATGGGTTTCTTGGTGCTCTCTGAGCTGTTTTCTTGCAGATAGTTCATTATCTAACTAAGTAAAATAATCAGTGTGCGTAAGGAGTGGGTTTTGCTTTCAGCTATTTTTCCTATGGTGAATCCTTGGGAGTCAAAAGAGAGAAGCCCAAATTTAAAGACTACAGAGTCCTGAGCTGGAGGGAAAAGGGATAAAGAGATTCAGAGTCTTCACACCCTTGAAACTCTCATGGTATATTAGGTTAGAAGGCTATAGCTTTAGTGTGAGAAGCTGCTGTCTATTAGGTACAAGCACATCAAAATTGGACTTGATTGAACTGTATTCTCTTTGGGTTTAGATCTGACATTATCAGACTTTGATGACTCAAAAAAATTGTCCAGATTAGAAGCAATAGTACTTAGACTTATAAACCACTTTACAGTGCGTTACAGCCATCTCTAAGCAGTTTACAGAGTCAGCATATTGCCCCCAACAGTTTGGGTCCTCATTTTACCGACCTCGGAAGGATGGAAGGCTGAGTCAACCATGAGCCTGATGACATTCGAACTGCCCAATTGGAGGCAGCCAGCAGTCAGCAGAAGTAGCCTGCAGTACTGCACACTAACCACTGTGCCACCATGGCTCATAGAAGACAGTACCAAATAGATGAAGCCTTGCAAGGTTGGGAGTTATCCTCTCTGGAAAGGTGCTATGGGGTTCACAAGAACCTTGTCTGTACCTGTAATTGACATACCCCTACAGTCAGGAAGAAACTCAAGAGTTCCAGCTAGCTGCTTAACTCCTAGAAGAGAGTGAAAACCAGGAGCATCAGCTGATACAAGCATTAAAAGTGTTTCAACAGCTGCAATGGTCTGTTAAAGTAAAGTAAAGGTTCTCCTTGTACATATGTGCTAGTCGTTCCTGACTCTTGGGGGCGGTGCTCATCTCTGTTTCAAAGCTGAAGAGCCAGCACTATCCAAAGATGTCTCCGTGGTCATGTGACCAACATGACTAAACACCAAAGGTGCACAGAACGCTGTTACCTTCCCACCAAAGTGGTCCCTATTTTTCTACTTGCATTTTTTACAAGCTTTCAAACTGCTAGGTTGGCAGAAGCTGGGACAAGTAGTGGGAGCTCAACATGTTATGCGGCACTAGGGATTTGAACCACTGCACTGCTGATCTTTCTATCAACAAGCTCTTAGGCACTGAGCCACCGCATGCTACAATGGTCTGTGAAGCCTTTGTAAAAGATCTTCTTATTCAATTTTTGAATTGAAAAGGCTTCCATTGAATACATCATGCGTGAGTTCATTGCTTATCTGGTTGATTCCAAGAGTCAACTTAACTGAAGAGCAAATGATGTGGTTAAATGGGAGTCAGGATTGCCCACAACTGAAGTATGTTCTTGGAGGTTAACATGCTTGGAGGAGGTGCTCAGCTAAGTTTATAATTCAAAAATGAAATATGATGTTTTTCATGTTCAGATTAAAATTCACTTGAATGTCTGTTTGTGTGTGCCTTGCTGATTTTCTTATATTGTTATGCTAAAATTTTTAGGATAGCAAAAGACATCTGAAAAGTGAAAGGAGCTCACAACCAGATTTCTGGAACAAAGTGAGTGTTGGAAATGAATAAAAGGTAGTGAGAAATCACAGAAACAGAATTCCATAGATATAAACTACTAATGCAAAACAGGGTTTGATTGCACAGTTATGAATATCTTGAATATTCAGATTCTCCCAAGGTCACCAGGAAAATGGTGAGAAATAGAAAGAGATTGAAATTGGATTCAACCATTAAATCATCTTCTGGTCAGATGTTGTTTTGTATTAAGATGTGGTTTCAAGATTATGATGTAGCACTTGGGGAGAAAGATGCAACTCAAAAGACCTGCAGCAGAAGCCAGGATGGAGAAGATCTCCACAGCCACCATGTATTTCCCTTTGGTGCTCAGATAGGCTGGGATGAAGGACACCCAAATGCTGCAAAACACAAGCATGCTGAAGGTGATCAGCTTGGCTTCATTGAAAGTATCTGGTAATTTCCTTGCAAAGAAAGCCACAATGAAACTGATGGTGGCCAGCAATCCCAAGTAGCCCAGGACAATATAGAACATGTTATCTGAACCTTCATTACATTGCACAATAATTTCCTCAACCTGTGAATGCTTATCTAATTCTGGGAAGGGAGGAGATATGATCAACCACACCACACAGATAACAATTTGAATGAAGGAGCCAAGGACAATGGCTGATCTCTCCAGACCTTTTCCTAGCCACTTCCTCATTGTGTTTCCTGGCTTGGTGGCCAAAAAGGCTAGGACTACTGTAATGGTTTTGGCCAAGATACAGGAAATTGAGATTGAGAAAACGATACTAAAGACTGTTTGCCTGAGAATGCAAGTCATTTTCCCTGGCCAACCAATGAACAAAAAGGAACAGAGAAAGCAAAGGAGAAGAGAAGAAACAAGGACGCACGTGATGTTTCTGTTGTTGGCTTTGACAATGGGGGTGTCCCAGTGAAGAAAGAACGTCAATGCCACCAAAATGAGGATTGCCGAAAAGAAAAGAATCAAGGAGGTCAGAATTATTCCTAATGGTTCACTAAAAGATAAATAGCTGAAATGTTTGGGAAGGCACTGATCTCTTTCTGCATTTGAATACTGATCTTCTGGGCATCTCTCACATTGATCTGCATCTGAAATACATGAAAAAAGTCTTATCATTTCCAAATAAAAAGAAAATATAGAGCTAACATACAGAACCTAGTCTAAAGTAGAGAAATTATGCTAACTAACTAACTAACTAACTAACTAACTAACTAACTTAACTAACTAACTAACTAACTAATTAATTAACTAACTAACTAACTAAGTGCCAGAGCCCACTGTAACAATATTGCCAAAAAGGCATTAAAAGTTGTTAACCTAATCTTGCGTAGCTTCTTCTCTGGTAAGGGCCGAGCTGAGGATTTTGTACAGTATCTGGATGATAAAATAACTCAGATTCGGGAAGACTTGGCCGCCGACTGGGTTAGTTCAGACGAGATGACTGAGGCAGGCCTTGAGAGTGTTATCTGGGAGGAGTTCGATCCCGTGGCTCCCGAGGACGTGGACAGGATCTTGGGACGGCTGAACGCGACCACATGTTTATTGGACCCGTGTCCCTCCTGGTTGGTGCTGGCTTCCCGGGAGGTTACACAAGGCTGGCTCCAGGGGATTATCAATGCTTCTTTGAGTGAGGGTGTCCTGCCAGCCACCTTGAAAGAGGCGGTGGTGAGGCCTCTCCTCAAGAAGCCATCCCTGGATCCGGCTGTTTTGGCTAACTATCGTCCAGTCTCCAACCTTCACTTTATTGCGAAGGTTGTTGAGAGTGTGGTGGCACGACAGCTTCCCCAGTACCTGGATGAAGCTGTCTATCTGGATCCGCTCCAGTCCGGCTTCAGATCTGGGTACAGCACGGAAACGGCATTGGTCGCGTTGGTGGATGATCTCTGGAGGGCCCGGGATAGGGGTTATTCCTCTACCCTAGTCCTATTAGACCTCTCAGCAGCTTTTGATACCATCGACCATGGTATCATGTTGCACCGGCTGGAGGGACTGGGAGTGGGGGGCACAGTTTTGCGGTGGTTCTCCTCCTATCTCTCCGACCGGTCGCAATCTGTGTTGACAGGGGGGCAGCAATCGACCCCAAGGTGCCTTGTTTGTGGGGTGCCACAAGGGTCAGTCCTCTCGCCCCTCCTGTTCAACATTTATGTGAAGCCGCTGGGTGAGATCATCCCTGGTTTTGGGATGGAGTTCCATCAGTATGCTGATGATACTCAGCTGTATATTTCCATCCCAGACCATCCCAATGATGCCTTGGAAGTGATGTCCCAGTGCCTGGAGGCCGTGCGGGTCTGGATGGGGAGAAACAGGCTTCGACTCAACCCTTCCAAGACCGAGTGGCTGTGGCTGCCGGCGTCCCGGTATAGCCAGCTGACGCCATCGCTGGTTATTGGGGGTGAATCATTGGCCCCCATGGAGAGGGCCCGCAACTTGGGTGTCCTCCTGGATGCATGGCTGTCTTTAGAAGGGCATATGATGGCCGTGGCCAGGGGGGCTTTTTGTCAGGTTCACCTGATACGCCAGTTGCGCCCCTTTCTGGACCGGGACTCCCTACGCATGGTCACTCAAGCACTCGTCACCTCTCGTCTGGACTATTGTAACGCTCTCTACATGGGGCTCCCCTTGGGGTACACTCGGAGGCTCCAACTGGTGCAGAATGCGGCTGCGCGGGGGATTATGGGATAAAATTATCTGCCACAATGTCCTACCTGTCAATGACTACTTCAGCTTCAACCACAACAATACACGAGCAAATAATAGATTCAAACTCAAGATAAACTGCTTCAAACTTGATTGCAGAAAATATGACTTCAGTAACAGAGTGGTCAAGGCCTGGAATGCATTACCTGACTCTGTGGGTTTTTCCCCCAAACCCCCAAAACTTTAATGTTAAGCTGTCTACTGTTGACCTCACCCCATTCCTAAGAGGTCTGTAAGGGGCGTGCATAAGCGTACCAGCGTGCCTACTGTCCCTGTCCTAATGTTCCTTTTTACTCTTACTCTTTCAATGTATTCAAATTATGTTTATACTTTTACCTGTTATATTATATACTGTATGCTTGACAAAATAAAATAAATAAGTAAAATAAAAAATAAAACATAAAGATCTAAAGAAAGCATACTTGGTAGGTCAATTCACATAACCAATTCCACTTAAAATGGAATTATGACCACAGTTGAAACCAAAATTTTGATCACTAAACAAGGGAGTAGTTAAGTCTGTCATGCCCAATATTATGACCTTTTTCTCTCATCGTTTTTAAATGAATCACTGTGATTGTTAAATTAATCAAATGGTTTTTAAAGGAATCTGGTTTGCCCCATTGATTTGTCAGAAGCTGGCTGGGAAGGTCACAAATGACAATCATATGATCCAGAAAGCTGCAACCATTGGGACTTCACACTGGTCTCCAAGGGCCCAAACTGTTTGAACATGTGACTACGAGGATGCTCTGAGTCTGAAAAGTTACTTTTTCAATATTTTGGTTTAACTTTTAATGATTTCTAAAGAAATGGTTGATTTAAGGACTACCAATGTACAACAACGATTTTCTCTTAAATTAAATTAAAATTTAATTTCCACACTATTTGAAGGTTATCTTTTCCTTTCTGCTTTCTAAAAACACTGCACAGCTTCGTATAGTGAAGGATAGTTTAACATAAAAATGTATTCAGGTATCCAAATTCTCTCCTTTAAAAATTATAATAGGCTATTCTAGTGTAACCCTACTCTATTTTGATGTTGGTTGAATTAGTCTATTCACTATGAAAGATTCAGAAAGAATTAAGAAGTGTGTAAGGTTGAAAACGTCTAAATTTCTGCATTTATAATTCTATTTTTAACTTGCCAGTTTGGACTGAAATTCTTCCTTCAGGACATTTTCTGCAACTGTAGCAACAAGATTGTTTCCCCTCCTGAACAACCCTGCTGTAGCCCCGGGGGCAGCTCTCCACACATCTGGCCTTAGGAGGTACCTAGAAATAACCATCAAGAAATCAGCAATTTTTTCTAAAAATGACACCATGGGGCGATACCCACCAATAACAAACTCTATGTTACTCTCTTTCTCTATTCATAGTTTCACATCCAGAGAAATACCTAAGATAAAGTTGAAATACAGTCCATTTAAATGAATAGAAATACTATTGTTTTATGATTACTTTTTTTAGAAAGACATAAAATGTTGAAAGATTTTAGTTTCTAACATTTTGTAAAACAGGTAGAAATACAGTTTAAAAAGTTATCATTGTTTCATCCAATGTCAGGAATATTTCACAGGAATAAAGAAAAAAAATATCCTACTCATATTTATTCTGCACGTAATACATTTTAATAAATTTTAGGTATAGATATTACAGTTGCATACAGAATATCATCGCTGTCCTTCATTTCTGTAGTAGTCCATAGCAGTCATCAAACAAAAATATCTTCTTCCAAAGATTATAGTTACTTAGCTAAAAGTCAAGGTAAGGTTTTCTCTGTCCAATCATGCCTGAGGAGGCAATTTTCATCTCCATTTCTTAGCTGAGGAAGCCAGTCTTGTCTGAAGATAATTCCATGGTCATCTGGCAGACATCACTATATGGAACCCTGTTATTTTCTCATTGAAGTGATACCTATTTATCTACGTGCATTTGCATGCATTCGAACTGCTAGGTTGGCAGGAGGTGGAACAAGTAACAGGAGCTCACTCATTAAACCAGCATTCGGGTCTTGAACCCAGGGTGTCAACTTTTCAGCTGACAAGCTCAGCATCTTTAACCGATGAGTCATAGCTTAACTACACTAACTCAAAAAAATCCTACCTGCTGAAATTTTTGATTCCACATGATGGCACTTTCATTGAGGGTGAACATTTTCCCATCAGGAGTTTTGGAGTCCATCCTTCCGACATGGACTCTCTGGAAAGATCTATTCTGAAAGACGACCAAGTTGAAGATGTCGTACCCTGGATCAAAATCCCCCTTCTCGTCAAAAAATATTTCTTCTCCCGCACTATTATTAAAGCGAGTGTTTCTCAAAAAGTAGTGAAGCTGGTTTGAAGGGAGAAGAAAAGTGAGATAAAATGAGAATTGCCTCATTATTTCCCCAAATTTGGCAATATTCACAATCCCAACAGAATTTCTGTAGTGCAGCTTATTACAATTGTAACTGATGTCTATTCCCGTGTGATTCAGATATCTAGTCAACCCACATTCCAAAACTCAGTTTGAATTTCAGAAATCAAAACTGAAATTTTTCTTACACTTAACCTTGAATGTTTTAATAAATAAATCAATATCCTTTGTATAAAATAGAGTTCTCACATAATCAGCCCTTTCCCCACCTGTTGCATATATAAAAAATAGGAGGAAAGAGGCCATCCCACATAAATGGGGGAGGGTATCCATTACAAAAAATAAAATAAAATAAAATAATAAAAAAAAGCAGAGACTTCACCAAACCACACCAAACTCGTTTGCAGAAAATATGACTTCAGCAACAGAGTGGTCAATGCCTGGAATGCACTACCTGACTTTGTGGTTTTTTTCCCCAAACCCCCAAAACTTTAACCTTAAGCTGTCTACTGTTGACCTCACCCCATTCCTAAGAGGTCTTTAAGGGGCGTGCATAAGCGCACCAGTGTGCCTACCATCCCTGTCCTAATGTTCCCTTTTATTCGTATCCATTTCATGTATTCATAATCATGTTTATACTTATATCTGTTATCTAATACATGCTTGATGGAATAAATAAATAAAATAAAGTATCATGGTTTCCACCTGCTTTGGTACAGCTTGCTCATTGGTAGAATGATGAGTTCTGAATTGTGCCTGCAAATTCTACTAGTAAATGTCAAAGCATCTGTCTATGAAATGGAGGTCAAGAGAAAATTACTCATGCAGCAAGACAATGAACAAAAACACACACATTGTTCTACCAAAGAATGGTTAAAGCAGAAGAACATTAATGTTTTTAAAATGGACAAGTAAAGAGCCTTGGTGGTACAGCAGACTAAACTGCTGTTAAGGTGCACTTAGCTGCCAGCTGCCTGCAATTACTGTGAGTTCAAATCTCACCAGGCTCAAGGTTGACTCAGCCTTCCATCTTTCCGAGGTAGGTAAAAGGACCCGGATTGTGGGGGCAATAAGCTGACTTTGTATAAAAAAGAACACCGCTTGGGGGAGGGGGCGAAAGCCCTACTAAGCAGGTATATACAAAAGTATGAAGGCTATTTCTTAATGCATTGTAAGCCACCCTGAGTCTCCGGAGAAGGGCGGCATATAAATCGAACCATTAAATAAATAAATAAAACTACGGACTTTAATCACACAGAAATATTACAGAAGGACATAACTGGGCAGTTCATGTGAGGAAGCCCATCACAATGCCTGTCCTGATGCTGTTCTTAATACGTGCTTGAAATTCTGCAGAGAATAAATCACATTTTAGGCCATATCCATGCACAAATATCAATGATTTCAAAGGGTCGACAAATTTATAAAGTAATTGTACATGTGAAAGATTGTCATATAAATGTACAGTATGTATAAACAGTCCCACTGTAAGATCAGGGGGTATAATAGCTAAATGCAAGTTATTTAGTAGAAAGAGATCCCACAATGAAGATTGTGGACATCAATTTTAGTGTTGTCCATTCAAATTTAAGAGAGATTTGATGGAAGTGTTTGCCCAGGAACTGATAAAATTAATGAGCTATTTATGGTACAACACTAAAAAAAAAAATCTATTCTATTCTATTCTATTCTATTCTATTCTATTCTATTCTATTCCACTCCACTCCACTCCATTCCATATTTTCTATTCTATTCTATTCTATTCTATTCTATTCTATTCTATTCTATTCTATTCTATTCTATTCTATTAATTGATAAACATCCCACCAGAAAAGATGGTGGGATGTGATCTCTGCCTTGGAGTCATTACTTGGAACCCTGACAATAGATTTTGTAAAATTGTTAACCAACATAGTTACTTTGTATTTTAATTTGATTTATTTTTCTCTTTTAAAATTATAAGACTTTATTAAACCATGACAGACTGGAATGTAGGGGAAAAAATATCCTATTCATGAATGGATGGATTAATAGCCACTAACATTCCTAAACTGGAAAGATAAATTATAGAATGGATAGCTGGAGAATATCCTGATAAGACAAAATTTATTAGTGATAATTGGCATCTGGTCTGTCCCTTCATGAACTCCAGACAACATTTTTCCTCATTAACATCTTAAATTTTATGTCCCCTTCTGACATTAGACCTCATTTAAATGGACATATATATTTATTTTATTTTATTTATTTATTTTATTTTTGAATTTGTATACCGCCCTTCTCCCTGAGGACTCAGGGCGGTGAACAGCCAAATAAAAACATCAAATACAAATATTAAAATACAGTTAAAAATATATATATAAATTTGGCCCCATTAATTAAAACAATAAACCAAACAATTAAAAAACATGTAAAAAGAATTAGGCCAGCCCGGCTTGTTGGAAAAGGAAGGTTTTAAGGGCACGGCGGAAGGCACTGAGGTCATGGATTCTCCTTATCTCAGGGGGCAACTGATTCCAGAGGGTGGGAGCCCCCACAGAGAAGGCCCTCCCCCTGGGGGTCACCAGCCTGCATTGTTTGGCTGATGGCACCCCAAGGAGGCCCTCTCTGTGGGAGCGCACGGGTCGATGGGAGGTCGTCGGTAGCAGCAGGCGGTCTCGGAGATAGCTAGGCCCTATGCCATGGAGCGCTTTAAAGGTGATAACCAACACCTTGAAGCGCACCCGGAAGACCACTGGGAGCCAGTGCAGCTCGCGCAGGAGCGGTGTTACATGGGAGCGCCATGCTGCTCCCGTCACTACCCGCGCTGCTGCGTTCTGGACCAGTTGGAGCCTCCGGGTGCTCTTCAAGGGGAGCCCCATGTAGAGAGTGTTACAGTAATCAAGGCGAGAGGTCACGAGGGCATGAGTGACTGTGCACAGGGAATCCCGATCAAGAAAGGGCCGCAACTGGCGGATCAGGCGAACCTGATAAAAGGTCCCCCTGGTTACAGCCGTCAGATGTTCCTCCAAGGACAGCTGTGTATCCAGGAGGACTCCCAGATTGCGAGCCCTCTCTGTGGGGGCCAAAGACTCGCCCCCAATAGTCAGTGATGGAGTCAACTGACTATATCAGGATGCCGGGAACCACAGCCACTCAGTCTTGGAAGGGTTGAGCCTGAGCCTGTTCCTCCCCATCCAGATCCGTACAGCCTCCAGGCACTGGGACATCACTTCAAGGGCATCATTGGGGTGGCCTGGGGTGGAGATGTACAGCTGAGTATCATCAGCGTACTGATGGTATCTCACCCCAAAGCCACGGATGATCTCGCCCAGCGGCTTCACATAAATGTTGAACAGGAGGGGCGAGAGGACCGACCCCTGAGGCACTCCACATATAAGAGGCCTCGAGGTCGACCTCTGCCCCCCTGTCAACACGAACTGCGACCGGTCGGAGAGAAAGGAGGAGAACCACCGTAACACGGTGCCCCCCATCCCCAACTCTTCCAACCGGTGCAGCATGATACCATGGTCGATGGTATCAAAAGCCGCTGAGAGGTCTAACAGGACCAGAACAGAGGAGCAACCCCTGTCCCGAGCCCTCCAGAGATCATCAACCAACGCGACCAATGCCGTTTCCGTGCTGTGCCCAGGCCTGAAACCAGACTGGAACGGATCCAGATAGGATGTTTCCTCCAGGAATTGCGGAAACTGTCGCGCGACCAGTATATATAACCAGATATATATAACCAGTATATATAACCAGAAGTGGTATTCAGCCGGCTTGGACCAGTTCGCCCAAAGCTCCTGGGGTTGGTTTGAATTGGAATGCAACACAACCGAATGCATGAATGACTGAATTGCAGACCAGTAATTGCTAATAGTTAACACCTTTCTCAAGAAGAACTGACCCAGAGGCTTTATACTACTGATTCATGTTCCTTCCACTTCAGGTTACATAAATATTTCTGGGAAAAGCAAAGACGTACCTGCCATGGCTGAAAATGAAAATCAGGATTTGCTCCCTTCTGATTCTTCAATAGAGCTGGCTTTCCTCTGCTTGAGCGCATGGCTTGCAGAGCATGTGCTACAGAATAAACCGCATTGTAGATATTGTAGCTCTCTCCAGACATGGTCATTTCAAACACAGAACCAGGGACTCTGCTCAGGTCTTCCTTCCCAGTGCAGCGTTTTGCTCCTTTGGAATTTGTACGAAATGAACAGTCAAATATAGTCCACCAGAATCTACTCATGAGAGCAGATGAATGTGCAAATTGCTTTCTCCTTTCAAGAAACCCATGAAAACCTGGCACCGTTTTTGTGTGCAATGCAAAGTATAAGGACCCATTGAAAGTTAGGGCTGGGAAACTCCCCGGTTTAAATATCATAACAGTGAAATCCCACTGAGAAGTCATAATCCACACTCTGTGATAAATTTTCTTTTTCTTGGACCTTTCAGAAAGATACAGGATTATTTGCAAAGCCTCCATAGATTGGATGGTCCCAGAAGCAAGGAACACATCAATTTTCTTCACTAGCATAGTGTCCTGTATGTTGGATATATGTGAAGTAACTGTTCCTGCAGCTAAATCTCCACCTTTAAAAACTGGCATGAACTGCTTCCAAGCAATGCAAATATCATTCTGGAAGAGCTTTGGCTGGATATTTTGAAAAAAGGCTTCCCCACTCTCATCCTCTGATGCTAGGAGGCCAATCCAGTTCCATCCAAAATATTTCAGTAAATGAATGATCCCCTCATATTGTACATTATCATTGGGAACCATGCTGAAGAAAGAAGGGAACTGCTCTTTATCACTCAGAATTGGGTCAAAGTGGCCATAACCAAGCTGTTTGGAAGAAAGATGCATAGAAAATTTGAATGGAATAATCTTTTTGTGATCTTGAAGAACATAGAGCTTTTCCATTCCCCCTATAATTTTGGATTCTAGTGCAACAGCATGGAAGAATTAGAAACACCCCAAGTTTCCCATCAAGATCTTCTCTGAGCACTTTTGCTGAAGAAACTGATTTATGAAAAATGGCCATACCTGTGGAAATTTATAGCTGTTCAAAATGTGGGCCATCTGGAGAGAGTTTTGAGAGTGGAGGCCTCCAATGATAGGCAAGAAGTCTGTCTTTCTCCTTCCAGCACAGTTGAAGTTGATAGGGCTCCCTTGGTCCAGGAAGAGATGGCCTAGAGCGTGCTTACTGGCCTGCCTGACGCTGAAACTGCTTTCGTGAATTCTCAGGACTAGTGTAGTGTTGGGGAACTTCTTGATGTTCCTGTTGATCTCATGAACAGCAAAAGACATAGAAAACCGGTGTTGGAAGTTTTTGGGTATCAGGCTAAAATAAAAGTGCATAAATACATATAACCATGTCCCCAAAAGAATTAAATCCAGTTGTGAGCTATCAGTATAATTTTAGCAATTTGTGCAAAGGAAACTAATTTCAATGACTTTCTGCTTTGTACATCGTCCCCACCACCTCAACAGCCACTGTTATTTGAGCAAAAGAATGGGAGCCATAGATCTCAGTTCTTTGTAAGAAAGTATGGATTCTTTCTGTCCAAATCAACACCCCTTCATTCTTGTGCCTTTCCCCTTATGAATGCAATCAGTTATGTAACTGAATGCAACCAGTTATGTAACTGAATGCAACCAGTTATGAAGCTTTGTCGCAGTTTGACACATGTGAAAAGCAGTTGGATCAGATTTACTGTTTTTTTAAAAGATATGTATTAAAATAAGTTAATTTCTCTTAACCAATTGATTACTAGTATTCTTATTAATTATGCAGAAACTATTCAAATCTTTTAGAAGGAGACGTTCAGCAAGGTGTAGACCACCAGGCAAATGGTTTGGAGAAGAAAATTGGAAGTCCTTTTCCTGACAGATACAAAGATGCTCTACTTACTTAGTAAAGTCATCTATTAACACAAAATATAAGCTGGGCAGATACGACCTCATAGCTGACCCTCATTCTGTCAAGGACCTTGGAGTACTCATCTCAAATGATCTAAATGCCAGAACCCACTGTAACAACATTGCCAAAAAGGCATTAAGAGTTGTTAACCTAATCTTGCAAAGCTTCTTCTCTAGTAATATTGAACTGCAAACTAGGGCATACAAAACTTTTGCTAGACCTATTCTTGAATGCAGCTCATCTGTCTGGAACCAGCACTGCATATCGGACATTAATACAATTGAGCAAGTCCAGAGATATTTCACGAGAAGAGTCCTCCACTCCTCTGCTCGCAACAGAATACCTTATGCCACCAGACGTGAAATTTTGGGCTTAGACAACTTAGAACTTCACTGTCTTCAGTCCAACTTAAGCGTAATACATAAAATTATTTGCTACAATGTCCTACCTGTCAATGAATACTTCAGCTTCAACCACAACAATACAGAAGCACATAATAGATACAAACTTAACATAAACCACTCCAAACTTGATTGCAGAAAATACGACTTCAGCAACAGAGTGGTCAATGCCTGGAATACACTACCTGACTCTGTGGTTTCTTCCCCAAACCCCCAAAACTTTAACCTTAGGCTGTCTAGTGTAGATCTCACCCCATTCCTAAGAGGTCTGTAAGGGCCATGCATAAGCGCACCAGCTTGCCTACTGTCCCTGCCCTAATGTTCCCTTTTATTCATTTCCATTTCATGTATTCATAATCAAGTTTATACTTATATCTGTTATCTAATACATGCTTGATGAAAATAAATAAATTAAAATAAATTAAACGATCCTGGGTTTGTCTTTGAAAGTCCAGGAATACCAACATATAAACTTCTTCAGTTAAAACTGGGTGGATCTATGTTGTTCTTGGGTAGTAAATTATATGATCAGATATAAAATTTCAATTTTTAGATCGCAATTTGCAGTTTCTTTCCTTCATTCTTGTGGAAAAGTTTTCTCCAGAACATTGAATGAAATGAATCAGCTCTCTAGTTCTTTCTACAACTGCTGTAAAAATTAATTTGTAACTACACACTTCAATCAATAATTTGATTATTATAATCTGTAATCATGAATGATTTATGGAGGATGATGTGAGCAATTGGAATTGTATTTCCTTTAACGTTCAGCTCCTAAATATATTGCTAGAAAGCATTGTAACTACCTGATTTTCAGTTTGTGAATACTAATTATATCAATGTTAGAAATATGCCAAGTATTTGCTCTATTGAAAAAGATTTAGAATCAAAACACAACATTTTTCATGAATCCAGTGCTACTTCCATTCTTGTGGCGAAGGGAGGAAAAGACTTAGAGTATTTTTTTCCCAAAATTCAATTTTTGAGTGTTTATGTTAAAATGCATCTTCATAAATCTAGATCTCAAAGATGGTTGTTTATAATATGCACAGAATCCCACTTTCTATTTTCCAAAGGGCCAGCTCTCAGCTGAAGTCATGCTCAAAATGCCAAAATGTGACAGCCAAGGGAGCAGTGCCACATCTGATGCAAAACCGTGCTCTTTTCTACATTCTATCTCCTTTTTCTGAAGTTGTATTGCACTTTATTCAAAGATAAAAGGGGTACTTACTGTCTATTTCTGGCAGAGTATGGCTCTTTTGTTAAACTCTCTATCACTTCATCAGTATACATAACGGACATAAATCCTCCAAGTATCATTTGAGATTTGGAGGTGCTAATCTTGCTTCGAGCTTTGGAAGGCTGGATGCAGATGGATTTCAAATGCCCATTGACACAGTCAGGAAGGAAGGAGAAGAGTAGAATAATTTTAAGCACCAGTAGTCTTGAGCCACCATCCCACCTGTTCAAGTATTTGGTGAACAACATGTAGCTGTCCCTTTTTCAAGGAACTAGACCTAATGGGAAATATCCACTGAATATGAGAAGAGGGAGGAAAAGTGTTCTTTTTTTAAAAAAATAAAAAGATAAATGCAAACGTTTGGCTTATTAAATGTAAAACATTTCTCTGATTCAGCTAACCTCTGAGATTTCAGAGGCAGAAGGTGAATTGTGAGGGCTCTTTTTAAAAAGTTGCATTTCTAGTCTCTTTTTCCAGCAGTAATCTTTATATAGCAGTGTTACTGCTAAAGAAACAGAAGTGGAATAGAGTCATTTTGCTAATTAGCAGGCAAATAATACTCTTCCTTCAAGTCTACTAGTCCCTGGTGATTTATAGAAATTTTGTTTGTGTGAAATCTGTACATATCTAGTTTACATGTTGTAGTTGGTGTAATATAGTAATTCGAACTTATTTCTCTTGCCTTGCAACCGTACCTACTCTTGCCTTGTCCCTATGTGCAGAAAAGGTTTCAGAAATTTTTGTTCTTCAATATTCAGTATATTGCTGAGCACATTGTAAGCCGCTCTGAGTCTTCGGAGAAGGGCGGCATATAAATCAAATTAAAAAAATATATATTAGGTTATATACACTGACATATGTTAAACTCCCCATAGGGATACTAACTAGTTAGTCTTTTCTTAGACTATGAAATGTTGAATGTTGTTTTTTGTCTCTTCTAGTTTCATTTCTTTTACTCCTTTTTTGGAGGTGGGGTTATCCTCACATTTTTATTAGGATTCCTGTTTTTTCCATCTTCACTGATGTCAGATGCCAGAGAATATCATACCAAGGACTGGGGGACTCAACACTCTTCCCTCAAAATTCACTTTTCTCTGATATGAAAGCAGGGACAGTATTCTTTAAAATATAATATTTTGTTTCCAAGAAAAACTCTTGAACCTGAATTTATATTGTGGAGATTCTTGGGGGGTGGGGGAGATTGGGCATTTAAGGCAATTTTTTGTCTAAACAAAAATAAAAAAGATTGTAAAAGGTATATAAAAACTGGTTGAAGTCACTTTCCCAAGCCAATGAAAATACAAGAAGATCACATAAAGCAGATTTACAGGAAAAGAAAGGATGATGTTGACAATGCTCAAGTATATAGAAAAAGTCTATATCAATACATTGGTGTTTCCAAAAATGAAAAATTCAAAAGAAATCAATATAATTCTTTCTGGTTCTTCCAATAATCCATCCATCTATCAATCAACTATTTCTATATTATGAATCTCACACATTTCAGTTTTTGACCCCCAAAATATAAATCCATATAATAAGCAGTTTTAGTTTAAAATTTAGTCTGGGTGTGGTGGAAAAATCTCTGATACGAATGTTTTCATGATTGCTGTTAGGTTGATCTTGCACATTAGAGTAGGGAATAGTTAGAAATCCTAAATTAGGCTTTCAATAAAGAACCTGTAGGAGACTCACTTTGTCCTTATAATTTTCATTTACTTACAAACTATTTAACACTTCTGTTGCAAGTGCATTTTAAAGTTGACTCATTCTCTTTAGTATGACAAAATTACCATCCAGGTTTCTTTTTCAAATGGATTCTAATGATCCGTTTATGGGACCGAGGATTTTAAGAATGTTATAAATGAAGTCTCTTACTTCATACAATCTGAAGGGAGAAAGTTTAAACAACAGATGCCAAAATAAACATATTAGGTCTCTATTTATTGTCAGAACAATAATATAGATTTTCAGAACTGCATGAACCAAAGTACAACAAAGGAAAGTAGCAGAGATCTGGTGTTAGTATATATCTAGTGAACTACAAATCTTGAACTGGGGTTATAAGAAAGAACAATCAGATTCAGAGATTGCAACAAGGACTTTGGAGCAGAGGGAAAAGATCATATAAGGTTTAACACTCTGCCTGGAAAAAGGCGGAGTGGGGGAAAGTGTCATATTTCCCAGGAATCACAAACCAGAAAAGTACAATGGTGGTAGAATATACAAATGTGAAACACTTATATATTTAGCAAACACTTTTGCCAAAATCCAGAGAAAGGAATATTTAAAGATCCTGTGATATGGAAATATGTGCCCCCCCAATTTTTTTTAAATTTTTTTTTTTTATTAATAATACAAAATTTTAAAAAAACATTGGACATAGATATGACATCACTGGTTCCAAACATCTTCTGTCACTTTACAATAATATTAGTACTCATAGAAACAGATAAATGTATGTGCCCCAAAATCTTATGGTACATTAATTCATGTGTCATATGAGCATGCTAGATGAGTTAAAGTATCATGCTGTGGTGGGATTCAGCCTGTTCATACCACTTCGGGAGAATCGGTTGTTAACTTTCTGATCAGTTTGGCAAACTGGTTGTTGGAAGAAATAATTAGGACAGAGAACCGGTTGTTAAATTACTTGAATCCCACCAATGGTATCATGCTCATATGACCATTCATATAACCCTTTCCAATTACAAGTAGACTTGTACTACTGGTTGTAATTACTGAGTAACAAAATTTGTACCACAAAATATTGGACTGAAAAGTGATTTCATGCCAAGGCAAAAACAGGACGTAATGTTTGCAAGAGAATACAGAAAATTGATTAAGATGCAGGTGGTCATCCTGTTAAAATATATGCTGTTTAGGAACATTTATCCTATTTGCATCGCTTTATAATTCACATTTTCAGAGGCACTGTGATACAATGTTGTCCAGGTTCCCAGGATGGTGGGAATGCATTCCAAAGGAGCAAAGGGAAGCACAGGCTTCTATTTAGTAGTTCCCAGAGTATATGTTTTATGATGCAAGTATAATGCAAGTGCAATTTCCTGGTATGCGTTGTTTTAACCTAATTTAAATAAAAGGCACTGTACAGGATTTAAAAAGCATGGTAACTTCTGTGTTACTTTCTGTAAGTTCTGTGTTACAGAACAAGCCCACAGTAGTTTTGAATCGGCTTACTTTATGATTATCAAATTATGCCGACTGGTGACTCCCAGGGGGAGGGCCTTCTCTGTGAGGGCTCCAACCCTTTGGAATGAACTGTCCCCTGAGATACGAAATATCCCTGATCTCCGTGCTTTCCGCCGTGCCCTCAAGACCCTGATGTTCCAACAAGCGGGGCTAAACATATGAACATGTGAATGTTTTTAAAATGTTATCTAATTTTAGGTTCTATTTAATTGGGCCAAACTATGTTATAATAATAATTTTAATTAGCAATTTTATGATGTTTGTATATCTATATTTTTCTTGACTGTACACCGCCTTGAGTCCTACGGGAGAAAGGCGGTATAGAAATATAATAAATAAATAAATAAATAAATAAATAAATAAATAAATAAATAAATAAATAAATAAATACCTGGAATAGGCTTGTTGTGAAGTTTGGCTCAAACATTCTTACCTCTTTTGGCTGGTGTAATCCTTTTACTTTGCACAGGCCAAAGTTTTCACTGATTGCTTTCAGAAGAGTGTAGGGCTAAATCCTGTTCTTGTGCTAGATTGTCAGCCCCAGACTGCCAGATGGCCCAGAGCCACCATTCAGGCAAGGGAGGCTTGGACAGCTGGCACTCTCGCAGCTGGGATGCGCTCGCACGGGCATCAACGGCCATGCTGCCCTGCCATCCTGATGGGGAGGAGCCACCACCATCTGTGATCGCGTTCCAGACACACGCCCACAGCCTGCATCCCATCGCTCCTGCCTCCACAGGGCTGCTGACTGGCTAGTGAGGCCCTGACTGTAACTGATTGATCACGGAGGAAACAGCTGATCGTCGGACCATATGTGGAAGCAGGAAGCGGAGAGGGATAAGCTGAGATGGGTGGCTAGGGGCATAGCCGGCCTGCAGCAGCCATACTGGCAACAGGCAGTTGGTAGAAGGTGAGGGGTGTACACTGGACTTTCTTGATTTTTCCCCTTGGAAACATTTCTCATTCAAGAAGAACTGAAGAAACAAGTGTTGCTGTGACTGCCTTCTTTTGGTGCCTGGATATTTATTGGTTCGATTTTATATGCTGCCCTTCTCCGGAGACTCAGGTCTTACGCGCTTACAATGCTTTAAGCAATAGTCTTCATACTTTTGTATATACCTGCTTAGTAGGGCTTTTGGGCCCCCCTAAGCGGTGTTCTTTTTATACAAAATCAGCTTATTGCCCCCACAATCTGGGTCCTCATTTTACCTACCTCGAAAGGATGGAAGGCTGAGTCAACCTTGAGCCTGGTGAGATTTGAACTTGTAGTAATTGCAGGCAGCTGGTGCTACTTAATAGCACTTTAGTCTGCTGCGCCACCAAGGCTCTTGGAGCAACAGATTTTGGCTGAATCCTGGTAAAACTGAATGGCTTTGGGTGAGTGGGGACTTTACCATCTTTAGTTTTGGATGGATTTGCATTGGCTAAAACCAAACTCATGTGCAACTTCAGCATTCCTTGGACTCTCAACAACTAACCAAAAAGCAGGTTGCAGTCATGGCAAGGTGAGCCTTTACAAAACTTCATGCCGTGTGCCAGTTGCACCCTTTCCTGGATCATGAAGCACTGCAGACAATTACTCAGACCCTCGTCATGTCATATCTGGACTACTACAATATGATCTACATTGGGCTAACCTAGAAGAGTATTTGAAACTATAGCTGCCACAGGATGCAGCAGGCTCCTCATCTGCCTCACAAAAATAGGGACAAAAAATATTTGAAGGGAATTTTCCAACCATTATTTTGGCTGCCAAAGCAGGGCAATTGATGTTAGTGTTTGGAGACACAAGGTCAACAAATGACTCAGCTTTAGTAATAGTGACTATTATGTTTTTCTGAAATATTTCCATATTATGCATTATCTTGTTCATTCCTGGGCAGAAAACCATAAGGCCAACTTCTGCTGAATCTGATACATCTTCATTTAGTGAAGCAGGCTGAATCCCACCAGTTTGCTTTTCAAGGTCAGATGTGGGGGAGAGGAATATTTGCTCACATATGGTAAAGTTTGATTTACAGGGATTTTGTTGTTGTTATTAGTTGCGAAATTGTGTCCAACCCATTGTGACCCCATGGACAATGTTCCTCCAGGCCTTCCTGTCCTCTACCATCCTCTGGAGTCCATTTAAAGTCATGCCTACTGCTTCAATGTCTCCATCGAGCCACCTCATTCTCTGCCGTCCCTTTCTTCTTTTGTCCTCAATCTTTCCCAGCATTAGGCTCTTCTCCAGTGAGTCCTTCCTTCTCATTTACAGGGATTAGGTGAGATCAAACAGAATAAGAAGTTAACTTTTAGTTTGCAAAAGAGTTTGGGATGTGAGGAATTTGAAATGTTGCTTAAACATTGTCTCATCTTAAATAGCATTAGTGTGAGAGTAAGCTAGAGTAAGTAAAAGACAACAATATCCAGTTTTATTGGATATTCAAATTTTAAACATTTGAATGCCAGAATGTCTTAAATGTCTGCACTTAAAATGAAGAAGTTGCTCTAGGAAGTTTACAAACTCCTAAAATCCCAGTGTCAAACATTGAGTCTCTTCAGGGAGATTCAAATATGTTGTGTCTGAGGTGAACAATTTAACAGACAGTGCCAAATAGAAGAGGTCCTGGCAAGGTTGGGAGTTAGCCTTTCTGGGAAAGTATTTTGGGGATCACAAGAAGCTTTTCTGTACTCCTGGATGACTCATCCCTCCATTCAGGAAGGAGCTCTGCTGAGTTTAATTTAATTTAATTTAATTTAATTTAATTTAATTTAATTTAATTTAATTTAATTTAATTTAATTTAATTTAATTTATCGCATTTCTATGCCTCCCAACTCCCAAGGCACTCCTGGAAGAGAATGAGAATCAAAGGCCTCAGTTAATACAAGCTTTAAAAGTGTTTCAGCAGTTATAGGATTTGATCAAGCCTTTGTAAAAGCTGTTCTTGAAAAGCCTTCCATTGACTACATCATGCCTGAATTAATTGCTTATCAGGATGACTCCTAAAATCAATCTAACTGGAGATTAAATGACCAGGCTAATGAGTGTTCTTGGAGATTGTCATGCTTGGAGGAGGCATTTAGTTTAAGTTTCTAACTTAAAAGTGAAATTTGATAGTTTTCATTTTCAGATTAGGATTCACTTGCATGAGTGTGTTTGACTGTGTGTACTTTGCTTGGTTTTGTCACATTTGTAGGATAGCAAATGGCATATGAAAAGTAAAAAGATGACCCTACCCAGATTTCTGGTACAGTATGAAGGACAGAAGGAAATAAAAGGTAATGAGAAATTGCAGAAACAGGAGTCTGTAGACAAAAACTATCTACTCCTGGAAAACATTTTTGTCTATGTATTTCTTTTGGTTTCTATGCTATTTCAAGGCATAAGAAATTCTTAGCTTTTTCTTTCACATATAAAGCAATAAGTGTCAGGGCATTTATTAATCCCATGTTTGGCTCTGGGACTAATTACCCTGGTTTAGAGGAGATGTATCGTGGCTTATTCCAAGTTGCAATAATCTGAAAAGAAACGCGAGGAAAAGTTTCTAATAAAACTCATTTATTTGTTATAAAGAAAATAAAACACCTCACTAACTAAGAAAAGTTAATTGCTACATTTTTGAAAGTAATTCGGGCCAGTTGCTTTTCACAGCAACCGGCACTCCTGGCAAGAGAACAAAGGAAAGAATGTGTGAAGCAAGTGTGGGTGGATGGACATGCGTAGTAGCTTTTGATAACAATTCTTGGCAAGGTACGGAAAGTCTGATAGTCCAGAAATAATGAGTTCAGCTGGCAAATAAAATAACGCAGTGACAATAAGGTTACCAAGATTTTAAAAAATATTTAAAACCATGGCCAAAGCAATACATGACTCTACCTAGTCAAAGTGTTATTGTAGCATTTGTCACAAATCCAACTCCTGGTCCTAGATCACACAGGGAAAAATCAGAACAAAGGAAAGCATTTGATTGCAGGTTTATGGCTAAATATTTTGAATAGTCAGATTGAGCCAGTGTAGTGACTGTAGGTCACCAGGAAAATGGTGAGAAATAGAAAGAGATTAAAATTGGATTCAACCATTAAATCATCTTCTGGTCACATGTTGTTTTGTATTAAGATGTGGTTTCAAGATTATGATGTAGCACTTGGGGAGAAAGATACAAATCAAAAGACCTGCAGCAGAGGCCAAGGTGGAGAAGATCTCCACAGCCACCATGTATTTCCCTTTGGTGCTCAGATAGGCTGGGATGAAGGACATCCAAATGCTGCAAAATACAAGCATGCTGAAGGTGATCAGCTTGGCTTCATTGAAAGTGTCTGGTAATTTCCTTGCAAAGAAAGCCACAATGAAACTGATGGAGGCCAGCAATCCCAAGTAACCCAGGACAATGTAGAACATGATATCTGAACCTTCATTACATTGCACAATAATTTCCTCAAACTGTGAATGCATGTCCAACTCTGGGAAGGGAGGAGATATGACCAACCATACAATACAGATTACAATTTGAATGAAGGAGACAATGACAATGGTTGATCCTGCCAGTCATTTCCCTAGCCACTTCCTCGTTGTGTTTCCTGGCTTGGTGGCCAGAAAGGCTAGTACTACTGTGATGGTTTTGGCCAAGACACAGGAAACTGAGATGGAGAAAATGGTACTAAAAGGCAAATCACTTTCCCCGGCCAACCAATGAACAAAAACGAACAGAGAAAGCAAAGGAGGAGAGAAGAAAGAAGGACACATGTGATGTTCCTGTTGTTGGCTTTGACAATAGGGGTATCCCAGTGAAGAAAGAAATTCAATGCCACCAAAATGAGGGTTGATGAAAAGAAAAGAATCAGGAAAGTCAGAATGATTCCTAAAGGTTCATTAAATGATAAGTAACTAAAAGTTTTGGGGAAGCACTGATCTCTTTCCCTATTTGAATAATGATCTTCTGGGCACTTCTCACATTGATCTGCATCTGAAATACATCAAAAAAGATAATTTTGGAATAAAAAGAAAATATGTAGCTAACATAGAGAATGCAGTGTAACAGAGAAATCACAGTAACATAAAGAGCTAACATAGATACAGCACATTTGATACGGCATTCAAAGCCCTTTCAAATTACTTGTAAAAACATAAAAGCACAATTGAGACCAAAATTTCCATTACTGAGCAAGGGATTATTCAATTATGTTGTTCCTCGCACTTGGGAAGACAAATGGAGCTCAGAAGACCTGCAGACCTGCAGAAGAGCCCAAATGGAGAAGATCTCCACATCAACCATGAATTTCCGTCTGGTGCTCAGATAGGCTGGGATGAAGGACACCCAAATGCTGCAAAACACAAGCATACTGAAGGTTATATACTATATATAGCATATTCTTTAGATATTGATAGATAGGAATCTTTAAAACTTACCCTTTCATGAAAGACATTTTCATATTAAGTTTCATTTGCATAATTGCATTTCAATAGAATAGAATAGAATAGAATAGAATAGAATAGAATAGAATAGAGTAGAGTAGAGTAGAGTAGAGTAGAGTAGAGTAGAGTAGAGTAGAACAGAACATAGAACAGAACAAAACATAGAACAGAACAGAATATAGAACAGAATAGAATATTCTTTGCAGGATACCACACACAGAATAGCCCAAAGTGCGCTCACTGCTAGAGAGAAGTACCTTGAGGATGGGCTCCAGAATGAGTCCAAATGCTCAGAAGACTAAACATCTGGTCCCAGTGACTGACCCAAATTGAATCCTGTAACATTATTCTGGGACATGTACATTCGCCTTCATTCATGAAAATATTCTTTATTGACCAAGTGTGATTGGATACACAAGAAATTTGTCTCTGGTTCATAAGCTCTCAGTATACATACAAGCAACAAAGTGATAAACCATAAATCATAAGATACAACCAACAAGGTGATAGTCATAAGATACCAATAGGAGGAGGTAACAAGAAAGATGAGAAGTGATAGTTATACAGTCTTACTACATGTTTAGATATCCTTAAGCCTAAAATTGTGCTGTGGAAGTGCTGTGTTTAGCAGAGTGATGACTTTGGAGAGGGGGCGGATGCTGTCTTTGTGTCTAGTTATTTTGGCATGCAATGTTCTATAACAGCATCTTGAGAGAAGTTAAAACAGTTTATGTCCAGGATGTGAGGGGTCTGTAGATATTTTCTCAGCCTTCTTTCAGGCTCATGCTGTATAATGGTCCTCAAAGGAAGGAAGGCTGATTGCAATTTGTTCTTCAGTCCTAACTAGCCATTCAGTCCTAACTATCCATTGAATAGATACAAAGATAGAAACAGGAATTAAAATTATTTGCAAAGAATTTCTTAAAAATAGCCACCCACCGTTTCCTGCTACAAAAATCTTTTTAAAAACCTGCCATGAGTGACATTGAGTTGGCCACACCCACTCAGTCACATGGACACCCCCGCCCCACCACCATGCCTACCCAGCTAGTCATTAGGGAGAACCAGTTGTTAAATTACTTGAATCGCATCATTGGTTGTCTGCACCCCCAGATACTTAATACTGTTGATCACCTCTACAGCTGCATCCTTGATTCTGAGTGGAGTATGATATACTTTCTAAAATCTGCAATGATCTCCTTTGTTTTATTAACATTTAGAACCAGGTTTCTTTCATTGCACCAAACCACCAGAGCCTTCACCTCTTCCCTATAAGCATATTCATTGTCATTCGGATAAGACCCACCACTGCCGTGTCATCCGCATACTTCATCTTTGATTCGTATTAGATAGATAGATAGATAGATAGATAGATAGATAGATAGATAGATAGATAGAATTCTTTATTGGCCAAGTGTGATTGGACACACAAGGAATTTGTCTTTGGTGCATATGCTCTCAGTGTACATAAAAAGACAAGATACACTCTTCAAGAATCATAAGGTACAGTACTTAATGATAGTCATAAGATACAAATAAGCAATCAGGAAACTATTGACTAATATCAATATAAATTATAAGGATATAAGCAACGAAGTTACAGTCATGCTACCATAAATGGGAGGAAATGGGTGATATGAATGGTATAGATATGGCACAGCAGTTGTAGGTAATCAAGGTGAACAGTAATGGACTCAAGACACAACCCTGTAGGTAATGTGTACTCAAGCAGATGAAGTTGGAAACTTTCCTTCCAACTCGTAGAAATAAGGAAATCAAGTATCTAGATAAAGGAGTATTAAAACCTAATAGGCCCAGTTTGTTGAGGAATGATTGTGTTGAGCGCTGAACTAAAATCAACAAACAGCATTTGGACATGTGTTTTCTTCTCTTCCAAGTCCACCAAGCGAAAATTAAGCACACATGAAAATGCATCATCTATAGACTGGTTCTTCTGATTGGCAAGCTATAATGAATCAAATGTAGGGGGAAAGCATGAAACCATATAGTCCTTTACCAATCTCATCATAATAGAAGTGAGTGCAACTGGACAGTAATCATTAAGGCATGTGATTATAGTTTTGGGAGTGTGGGGGCACTGATACAATGACAGCATTCTTAAACCATGTCAGCAAGTGAGCAAAGAAGAGATTTGCATTTAACTGAATTAGGAGATTGTGAGGTGAGAAGGGATAATTTATCTACTAATCCATCTCTTGCTCTTTTAATCAGCATTGCTTTCCTTCAGTTGAGAAAGCCAGACTTGATTCCCCAAATCTGTTATGATCCCATTTCTTTCTTCCCTGATGAGGAGCTGCCAAGAGATGGGTTTCGGTCATATAATTTCTTCAACTGGAAAAATACTTGATAATAGCTTTGGGAAAGAGAATTCCCTACCTAATGATTATCAGAATTAATGAATTAAACTTGGTTTTTGGGCGAGCACAGAACCTAGGGAGACTTAGCAGTTTAAGTTTACCATGAGCAACAGCTTCATGAGTAAGTGGCCTTATGAATCACTCAGATGATAATGATTGTAATCTACAACTTTAGTTGTGCATAAAACCAGTAGAGGTTCTTTCATTGTTCCAGTCAAAGTGTTGTGATGAAGATGTGGTTGCATTGCTCTGATTGGAGCCAAATTGATTTGGCATTCAAAGAGACTCACACATTTTCCCATGGGTTTCTGTTCTCTCTCCTTCTCCTCCAGGCTTCTTTCAACAAGACCTTTAACTCCATGGGTCGTAACAAACGACATTTGCAGCTTAATCTCCCTGCCCTCTCCAGTGATATCGTCATTGGAGAATTTGTGTCGACTTTATATCCTAATTTGCCTTTCCTCCACTTTATGGAACATCCAGAAGAATCTTTGAAAGGAAGGCAAGTACTCCTTTGAAAGAAACTGTCTTCCAAGATATTCTGATTAATAATAATAATAATAATAATAATAATAATAATAATAATAATAATAATTTTATTTATATACCGCCTTTCTCCCGGGGCGGTATACAGCCAAGATTAAAAACATAAATATACAATATCATAGTTAAAATTAATTAAAATCATTAAATAGTTTTGGCCAAATTTTAAAAACCCAATATTAAAACCCAATTTAAAATCATTCAGTTAGACAGCCCCACCTGTCGGAACCGTAGGGTCTTCAGGGCACAGCGAAAGACCCAGAGGTCAGAGATGTTACGAATATCCGGGGGCAATTCATTCCAAAGGGCAGGAGCTCCGACAGAGAAGGCTCTGCTCCTGGGTATCGCCAGCCGACATAACTTGGCCGAAAGTGCCCTGAGGAGTCCCTCTCTGTGGGAGCAGGATTAAAATTTTTCCACTTTAGATGAGAATTAAAACTGGTTTAGGCGTGATTTTTATTTATTCATCTGTCTTGGTTAATGATGTTTCAGGTGCTGGAATGTAGCCTTGTAGACATGGTTTTTCATGTTGCTGTTGTTATATATCAATTAATCTGCTCGTAGGAAAAACTCCCAGGTTTGATTTTAATGACACTGTTCCTCTATTTTGTTTATTTAGTATACAAAATGAAAAAGAAACCATATCAAAACTATTTAGCATGAATATTTTAATAAAGGTTTTAAATACATATCTATGATTCTCATACTACATAATGACACTGTTAGGATTTTATCACTTTTTCCTGATTTGCAAACACTTCTAGATACAAAGACTTTTATTTTATAAAGATTGTGGTTGCTTGAGTTTTCTACTTATCATGCAGTAAGCCTCCTTGGTACTTGAAGGCACACAAAGATGGGGTATATTTAAATATATGAATGTGATAAAATGTTATGTCTTAAGTATCTGGATTGTCATTAACTATTGGCAAAATCCTTCAATTGTATTGCTACCCTACATACATGAAACAATCCTTGCAATTGCGTTAAAACCCTGTTTTAAACTTCTCAAAATGTGATGCACAAATGCCCACAGGATCCTTAAGTGTGATTCAAACATTCCATTTCAGCTCCTCATTCCATGCCTTCCTCACTTCTGGAATATTTTAACTACTGAAT